ACTCAAGGGTTCAGCTCTTTAGAGTCGGATAGAAGTGCAATGACTGAACAAGTGAGATTTTAGTTAACAGAACATGGTGATCGCTTCGTTATTTGAGTTGTTCCCACCTTTTGTTCGAAACTATTATGTTTTGATAACTCAAAAGATCAACTTTCTATAGCCGACTTTCCATAATCTGCGGCATAAATAATCGATGCATTTATTTATATGTACTTACGAAATTATCTTGTTGAGCTGATCCGAGGTTGTTATAAGTTGCTGTTGTTGTTGTTGTTTGTTGTTGTTTGTTTGTTGTTGTTGCTGTTGGTCGATGGCCGAAGCTTCGGCGATTTCGCCTTCCTTAGAGCCGTGCTTTTACGAGTATGAAGAGTGCTGTTTGAGTCGAAATCGTAACAGCGCAGCTCTGAGGAAGGCCAAATTGCCGAAACTTCAGGTACCGACCGACAACAACAACAATAACTACAACAACAGCAGGTGCATGCGGTGAGGAACGAACACGCGCTGTTGTCTTTACCGCGAAGCAGGGCACTTCACCACCACTCCATCCGGGTCCTTCGTTTTGCCTGTCTCTCAGCTAGTTCTATCGATCTTTTGCCATCAGGAACCACCCGTCAACGGGATTGATCTGGGGGGCCCAAATCGGCAACGAACCCAGTTAAGCTGAGGCCGCAGTTATAATCACAATTTAACGTAGGACCCGGATGGTGTGGTGGCGAAGTGCGCTGCTCCCCGGTAAGGACAACAGCGCGTGTTCGTTCCCCACCGCATACACCTCCAGTCCGAAGTTTTGCAAATATCTCAGCATCATTGAAGTTGTATTTCACAATGTATACCCTGCGGTTAAAAAGAATAGGCAGTAAATAATACGTTAAATTACAACAACAGCGACAACAACAACAACGACAACTTACACCAACCTCACGTAAGCTCAACAAAATCAGTTCATAAAAACACTCCATAAGTGGAACGTATTAATAAATATATCGATTATCATGTTTTCATCACCTGTATCACCTGTAGTACCGTTGATCTCGAGCGGACACCAGTAAATCTTCCATTTTTCCCTGTCGCGTGCAAGAGTAGCACAGCGGGTTCTGCTCGCCTTAGGGACTCGTCGAGCATCACATCTTTCTTCTAAACTGTTCATGAAAAACTCAGTTATTATCAGTCCCAGACAAGCTTGGTACCAATTTGCGGAGGTATGGAAGGCTTGATGTGCCATGGACACGGAGATCGATTTCACGTATGTGTCGCAGTGGCGCCTCCAACCACTACGTCACACGCGCCCTTAACAAAGTTATATCAAAGAAAACTACTTCTACTAGTCGCTTTTTCACGCAAGGAAGCTATCTACCAACTCCTTCACCTGTATTACCTGTAGCCCCGTTGATCGTCGAGTGACTTAACCAGGCGCCAGTAAATCTTCCATTTTTCTCTGTCGGGTGCAAGAGTAGCCCAGTGGGTTCTGCTCGCTATAGGGACTCGTCGAGCATCATATTTTTCTTCTAGGTTTTCGTGAAAAACTCTGACCATCGGGTTGGTGGTCTTCCTCCAGTACGTTTGACATGCCGAGGAATCCAGTCACTAACGGATCTTGTCCATCGGTTGCCATTCATACGCATTACGTCTCCGGTTCACCTTATCTTCGACAGTTTGGCGTAGATATTGGGGCCTTTCGTTTCATCTTTGATTTTTGATGGTTGACGCAGGTCGGGGCTTCGGATTCCATCCTTTACTTGTGTTAAACGGGATACTCCTAGTCCTTTCGACTGCGCGTTCGGTAATGCTGAGTGATCTTTCATCCTGTTTACGCAGCTACCAGGTTTCTGACGCATACGTTAGGGCAGGAAGTACCGTTCAGTCGAAAAGGTGGGCACGGAGTCGGGTATTCCTTGTTTTCCTCACTACATCTTCGATGCTCTTGAAAGCTCCTCAGGCCGCTCGTTTCCTTCTGCTCAGCTCTGGAGCTAGGTTGTTCATCATATTGGCTTCCCGACCTAAATAGATATAACTGGAGCATTCGGAGATATTCGTTCCGTTGAGCGTGAATGGGCATGTGAAACCAATGCCTTTTTCATGAACATCGTTTCTGTGAGATTTAGTTGAAGACCAATCTTTCCACAGGCTTTATCAAAGTCGGCAAGCATACGTTTCGCTTGGCTGTTTGTTGTTATAAGAACGATTTCATCAGAAAAACGAAGATGGTGTAATTGCCGACCATCGATTTTCACTTCCATGTTGTCCCATTCCAATGTTTGCATGACGCTTTCGGGGGTGGCGGTGAACAATTTTGCCGAGATGGAATCGCCTCGCCTAACCCCTCTTTTGACGTCGATATTAATATCGTTGTAGAATGGTGATATCTTGGTTGTGAAACTTTTGTACAGCTCACGAAGAATCTTTCAGTACTGAGTAGGGACTCCTTGACTATCAAGAGTTTCCAAGACTGCTTCCGTCTCATCTGAATCAAAGGCCTTCTGTAAATCGATGAAAGTGAAACAGAGCGGTCTTTTGTACTTTCGCGAAACTTCAGTGAACCTTGTTAACGTGTTGATGTGGTCCATCGTACGAACCCCTCTTCGAAACCCTGCTTGCTCACATGGCTGTCCATAGACCAGTGTTCTGTCAATCCTGTTTAGGACGACACAAGTGAAAAGTTTGTAGACGACGAGCATCAAGCAGATTGGGTGGTAGTTGCTGATATCATGTAAGCCACCCATTTTGAACAATAACACGAACCTTGCATTCAGACAGGTAGCGTGTGAGAAGCCAAGCCAGTGTGTTTACGGGCACTGCTGGAGTGTTCTTCAGGTACTGTCCGTACCTGGTGTCGTTCGAGTTTTCACCGACGAACTGGCATGTCGGGTTTCGGAAGGGAGAACCGGTGGTACAACATACCCATCCTCCTTTATTTCATATGACAGAAGGTGGACGTGGCTATCGAAGAGATCTGAGTAGTATTTGTGAATAACTTTCTCCATTGCCTTTTTGGACGCTGTAACTGTTCCGTCTAGGCGTCGGAGTGTAAACATCTTAGTCATGTAATTGACGAAACTTCGGTGGACTCTGCGAATGCTTTTCCCAGCCTCTGCAGCTTTGACCATTACTGCTGCTCTTCTCTCTTTAAGATCTCCTTTTATCGCCTGTCCGTATTGTTTTACAAGTTCGGACGCCAGATCGCGGTTGTCTGCAGCTCGTGCGATTCCACACTGGCGTATCAGCTCAAATGTTTCTGAGACAGACGCCTCTTGGTGGCTTTCGGACTCTCGGCTTTCATAGCGCTAATGTGAAGATGTTGAATGGACCGATCGTATTCTTCGTCGATGTTACCGACAACGCCATCTTCCCAACAGCCGACTAATGAATTGAATAGGTCCCAGTTTACGGTGGTTCTGGGACTTCAGTTCTCGAATTTAGCGGCTTTTTCTCCTTTCGGCGAGAAATGGAATCTTGCACGAAGGCGACGATGGTCTGCTCTCATGTAGAGTTTTGGGACAACAGCGACATCGGTTAGGCAAAACCTTCTATTTACTCTGATGTGGTCTATTTCGTTATGGTACCCTCCATCAGGAGACTCTCGCGACCAGTCATCCTGTTCGTTCCACTCTAATCCATGGGTCTTAATGTGTCGTTCCTCAGACGTTCTTCTTGGTCCAATCTTGGCGTTGAAATCTCCACTGATAACCTTGAAAAATGTATGATCTCTGTATAACTTCTCCAAGTCAATATAGAACGCTTCGACTTCTTCTCGGTCGTAGTTTGATGTCGGCACGTAAACGACGATTGTCAAAGCAGGTATTGATCCACATCTTTTTAATCGTTGGGCATACTCACAGGCAGCTTGCCAGGCTCTCCCAGAGTGGACATGGAGTTTACTTGTTGGGGGCGACTCCTAACCGGCTCCCATATACTTCCCAGTCACTTGATTGCAGGCTTTTGGTCGAACTAACTCGTAAAATACAATGCGCATAAGCAAGAACGCACCCACACACGCATGCATGAGTACGAAATAGAGAAAGTCTGTGCCAAATCACCGCAGCAAAAACAGGGAGTCCATCCCCTGGGTCTATCTGCGTTTCAGGGAAGGAAAGATCGCTTTTAGCTCGCGACTATCCGCCGACTACCCCTATCCGCCACCTGGGCACGCGCCACGTAGCCTCGCGACGAGCAGGCTTGAGATCCCTCGTGTGAGCGAGATCCGTGGATATTTACATAAATGGAAATTATCTGTAGCAAAATAATTTCGTAAATTACTTTATCACGATTTTTATAAAAAAGGGATAAAGCTCTTGGCGCCGATCTATCCCTTGGGGACGGGCAATGCATTCGGCTTCATTAGACATCGTCTCGAGGTTATTGAATGTATATCTGGAATTTACAATGACTCGCGGTGGCCTACCGATTTGTCGAGCCAGTGCTGCTATCCTCCGAGGCAAGGCTGGTACCAATTTGCCTAACCCGGCGGGATGGAAGGCTTGGTTGGCCATGGGCGCGGGGATTGGTAACAAACCAGTCTGAGAGGTAGCAGTACTGACTTGATGCACCGGTAGGGTACCGTGAGTCAATGTATGAGCCGGATATGCATCCAATCACCTATAACGGTGCTCGATGAAGTCGAAGGCCTAGCACATGCCTTAGGGATTGATCAACGCCGAAAGCTTTATCGTTTTTGTTATGAATAATAAGGATAATAATAACGGTTTCCGCAACAATTACTTCAGAAAACTGCTGAAACAAAGAGCAAATAACTTTTACATAGCTGAGCTGACACGAGATTGGTGTAGAACAAGTAAAAATATTTCAGACTCAAAGAGAAGTTCGAACTCCTCGACCACGTACGGTGGTGAGCAAAGCGTGCAACACTTTTATTTCCTACCAATAATGTTATTTTTGCTGTTACTTTATCATTGCGTACATGTTTTCGTTTTCAGAAAAGGGCGGAAAGCACACCATCTCAGCATTCGGAGAAAATTCGAGGGCTAACTTCTAATCTGAAGTCGATGGAAACGTTGGACTATCCGGAATTTCTCGATAGGCATTACACCAAAATTGAACCTGGGGTTTCTCTTAACTTATCGATTAAATGTGCTTAAAAATTCGTAGGCGAGAGAGAAAATGCTGTCCGTATCAATAAGCGCCATGTGCAAAAATTTCAGGCACACAAGATTCAGTACACGATGGCGGAATATCATACGGTCACTCAAGACGCAAATCTACTACTATCATGTAAGTGAGCACAGTTACCTCAATGAGCCTATTACCAGCGCCAGGGTGAACATTTCCAGCCAGATTCTCACATCTAACACTTGCCTATGGTCCACATCTGTTGCAACCAATATCACCAGTGATTCCGTCAATCGAGTACTTTGAAGGGCCCCGTGAACTCCGTTCATCCCCGTCGCACACCAAGCTCTTAACGAAAAACGAAAAGCAGACACCGCAACAGTTTATTATATTGAATGCTGCGGATGTTGCTGTAGTTTTTCCTCGTGACGTCCTCATTCTCACCTTGCGAGGCCGTCGTAATTCAGACGCGTTTTTAGGTGAATAAGGCTGCCAACTATTGTGTTACAAAATGAAGGCACTAACCTCCCAGACAAGTTCATCCTGAAGGGATAGCAAAGTTTCTTGGTCTATAAGGCACCACCGAGCCAACGATGACGTGTGTTTAGTAGAGTACCTCTCACCACTGCGTGCACGCGTCTCTTTATTTTTTCCAGGATCCGTTTTTCTCTATCATTTAACATGTTCACAATAGAATAAGAATGAAAATTATTAAGGTAGAATAATTTTAGCCGAAAAAACACTAATTGACGTTGATCCACCAATTGTTATTGTCGGTGATATTCATGGCCAATTCAACGATCTCCTGAATATGTTTCTGCTCATTGGTCGCCCACCAGAGAAACGCTATTTATTCTTAGGTGCGATTATTATTGTTATCTTCTTCCCTCGCCTGTTCATTGTGAAACGGAACCCTCACATCAGAGTAACTACCGCTTCTTCTGTAGGGTAAGCAAACGCTTTTCATTTTGGAATTGTATTTACTTCCGCTCTCTTAGGAGATTACGTGGACCGTGGAATGATGTCCTTAGAATGTATTATGCTTCTACTCGCCTACAAGGTCAGGTGAACATCTCCAAAGCTAACACTTTGAAAGGCTTTGTTCACACGCCACCATGCAGATAAAAAACATGGATCTTTTCAGTCTTTCATCTTGTTACACAGAATTGTTTTGTTTTTGTCAGAATTGAGTCCAAAACTTCTCATGGGTGTGGCTTCGCAGCCGGATACCTGTAGACACTTTCGATGTGTTTGCAAATTATAGTAACCGAAACAAATTTCAAAAGGAAATCCAGTTTCTCATATTCTGCAGGCTACTCCGAGCTCTGTTCAGAATCGAATTGTTTTCAAGTGTAGATCGAAGAACTTTCAAGCCTTCCTAGGTCTGTTATCCCACATCCGTTTACCTGCTACGGGGAAACCATGAATGCGCTCGTGTGAATAGAAAATATGGATTCTGGAGCGAATGCATAAAACATTTAGGTGTAAAAGGCGAAACGGTATGGGCAATGTTTCAGGTATTCCATACATTTCTAAGTCATTTTTCTGTTCTCTTGTTAGCCTAATTTTTTCTCTACTATAAACGATTACTGTATACAGCGATGCTTTAACAACATGCCAGTGTCGGCATTGGTAGCAACAAAGATTCTATGCATGCACGGAGGCCTATCACCTAGTTTAGACACTCTTGATGTAAGTTTCCTACCAAGCTTATTAATGTGGTTTCCCATCTTTTGAAAATGAAGGCAGCCATTTACAAAAGATTTTAATAATAAAAAACATGCAAAATTATAAGTTCTAGTTTTGTATTTCGAACGTATGAGCTTACGAGTTCTACAAATAGTCTCATTCCATGAAATTTCGAAATCTATGATTGGAAGTAGATAAGATCGTATCCTCATTTCTAGCATCGGGATCTCGAAACTGTGGAAAGTCTTAAATTATCGGCAGTCGTATGGTTGTTCAAGCAGTGAGAAATGAAAGCCATCATTTGCCTGGAGAAGGCATTGCAGCTCTTCCAGTGGTTCATGCCGCACATATTCCTTTCATTTCTCGGCTTGTATAAGGTCCGAACGCACTACCATTGTGCTTCAACGAGCATCCACTACGTTGTTGTGTCGCACCATTTGAAGAAGATCTCCTTCGACGGAGTACACAAACACCTCTGGTATATAGCTGTCGTAGACATGACAGTCAAGCCAAAAGCAAGCAAGCACTTCGACGATTCCAGGATGATCGATTTCAGAGGTTATTGCGTACTTGTTACGCAAATCGCCAGTGAAATTATATGCACACTTAACGGAATGAAATGCAATGAATGAGTTTCGCAATAGAATGGCATTCTTACTAGGAAATTCCTTTGTGATGCGTTAAGACTCATGTCCTGCACTAAATACACAGACACTCTTGGGTCATACCAGATAGCTCGCAGGAGTAGGAAGTTCTCACTTAAACTGCAAAAAGTAAACTTTTCACAGAGAAGACTAGTACCAATTTTCCTACCCTAGAAAGAAAAGAGATTTAATGATCCCGATGTGGAGTAGAACCAACACAGTGCTCGATGATGATGGGCATTGCTACCACTGCGCCGCCCTCTTCGTTTTGATACTTATTTGTATCTAAAATGAAGCTCTTATTATAAAGCCGTTCTCGCCAGTAGGTGCTTAAAACGTCCTATTTGTTTTAATCGTAACTTAGGATGTTCGGAACACTCAGAAACCAATAAGAAATCCATTTCGTGGTGTAATCAACGACATGCTCTGGGCTGATCCCGATATGAGTATTCTGGATTGGCGCACCAGCAGTCGAGGTTCGGGATTCGCCTTTGGAACACACGTTAGTCCTACATTGCAAGTTTTTCATTTAACTAAAAAGTTAGAGGTAGATCTTCAAAACGTTTCAGGTTATTGATGATGTTTGTGAACGTCTAGGTTTGGAACTTATTGTACGAGCTCACCAGGTATTCGTGACACCTCTATGTGTTAGTTTACTCGAACATTCATCAAAGTCCCTATATAACTCAAGGACGAACAAATTAGTTAAAGCTATTTTTAAAAGATTTGCCTTGTAAAAAAAAACAGTTTTTTGTAGCACGCTGGGTAAAATAACCTTCGTAAAGATACCAACGATTGTGCACACAACGCACGACCTTCAATGGCATCATTTATATCTCAGCACGTTGTCAGTTTTCCTCAGTGAAGTAAAAACTGTTAGGATCTCGGTATCTTTGCCAATATGAATTGCAATATTCCACACTTCGTAGCACCGAAGTTTCACGAATGGTCAAAAAATGCCGTTTGTGGTGCATCAGTTGCATGTGTAATCGCATGAGTCGATCCATAAGTATTACGGAGGATTTTCGCCACGAAAATTGAGCTTGGGGTTCCAAAAATCTATAAGTACACTGCGCTCACCGAGATGGTTACTGCTTGAAACACGAGGAGCAATTCCTGAACCCATGTGCTAACGTTTTCTAAGCCCGATGCACAGTGCAGTGATCTGTGTTGGATAAGATATCGATTGAATACAAAACGTACTGCAAAAAGCCTGTGTACTGTGAGATAAACAGCCGCGAAGAAAGTAGGTAATTGGTTGTTCAGAAATAAATGAGCGTTCTTAACTAAGTGTCATAACTAGCTTCAAACAAAACTTTATTAAACAAAACGAAAACCTTAATGCTGCTGAGATATTTGCAAAACTCCGGACCGCAGGTGTCTGCGGTGGGGAACGATCTCAGCATCATTAAAGTTATATTTCGCAGTGTATACCCTGGCGTTAAAAAAGATTAGGCAGCAAATAAAACGGTTAACATTGTGATTATAACTGCAGCCTCAGCTTAACTGGGTTCGTTGCCGATTTGGGCTCCCCCAGATCAACTCCGCTGAAGGGTGATTGCTGATGGTAAAAGATGAATAGAACTAGCTGAGAGACACGTGAAACAAAGGACCCCGCATGGTGTGATGGTGGACGCGTTACTCCCCGGGAAGGACAATAACGTGCTCGTTCCCCACCACACCACATACCCTGCCGTTAAAAAGAATAGGCAGTAAATAAAACGGTTGAGATTGTGATTAAAACAAAAACCGTTTTGTATCTACACGTCTTTGCCAACGAGAAACAAAGCTATTCATTTTAGTTGCGTAAAATCTCAGAGTTCTGAAGCGATGAATTCGTTGAAGGCATTTTTTGCGTTATCGTGGTTGGTGAAGCATTTCTCGCGCAGGAAGTTGTCAGGGTGCTTGAAGAAGCGATAGTCGGTAGGCGAGAGATCCGTTGAATATCGTGAGTGGGGTAAGTGTTCGTAGCCCAACTCGTTCAACTTCTGCAGCGTTAGCTCCGCAACATGAGGCTGCGCATTGTTGTGGAGAAGGATTGGTCCTTTCTGCTGACTAATGCGGGTCGTTGTTGTTGGAGTTTACGGTTCATTTCGTCGAGTTGTTGGCAATACTTCTCTCCTGCAATGATTTAGCTCGGACTCAACAAACTGTGATGGATAGCACTCCTGCAGACCGCCAAACATTCGCCACAACTTTTTTTGGTGCAATTTCGACTTTGGAAAGTGCTGTGGAGCCTGATCGCAATCTAACCACCATTGAGCTGAACGTCTCCGGTTGTCGTACAGAAGCCACTCCTCGTCGCACGTCACGATTCGACCAAGGGTTGTTTTGTTGCGCAGAGTAATAGCAGACGACACTTCAAAAGGACAGTTTTTTGATTATCGTTTAATTCTGGCGGCATCCAGTTGTCGAGTTTTTCTTTGTCTTTCCTATACTATTCAAGTGAGTAGAAATTGTTTCTGTGCTTACGCCTATCTGTTCTGCAAACTCTCGAACAGTTGTTCGCGTGTTTGCTTCCACTAGTGCGTTCAATTTGTCGTCATCAAGTTCATTGGGACGCCGCGGTCTTCCTTATCTTCGGGGTCGAAATCACCAAATCGGAATTTCCAGAACCAGGTTGCACTGCCGATTCACCAACACTACCTTCGCCGCAAACTTCATTAGTGTTTTGAGCCGTCTCTGCTGTACTACGACTGAGTTTGAACTCACAGAAAAAATTGACGAAAGTTCGTTTTTGACATCTAAAACTGCAAAGCTCAAAATTGGTTAAAAAAAAATTAAATTTTGATAAAATATGAAGATATTTCTTGAAAAAGGTAATAATGTCAGCTTTTTAGTGGTGCATGGTATTGCAAGGCACAAAGAATATTTTATTGCTAAAAAATGCATTAAAGCAATAAATATTTTGAAATGCTCATTTATTTCCGAACAGCCTAGTGGATAAACACTGGTACCATAATGTCGACCCACACATGAGTGGAAATCTCCTCACATCGGTCTCTATGTGTCAACATATGTCCCTCGTTACTTTTTAATTCAGTAAAATTTGTCACCAATCAGGGCCAACTTTCAAGTTTTCTAAGCAGAAACTTCGCTTCCATTTTGCGAATGTCGTATTCGAGTCTGAAGTAGTTCGTGCCAAAGCGATATGGCGGGACGTTTTACCCTTGTAGCTTTGTGATTTTATGCGACTCTTTCATATGACGAAGTCCCTCTATTCAACTTGTAATCATGAAATGTGATCATTGCCTTACCAAACAAACTGGGTTGAGAAGAGATTTTTGCCTTTTTCATTTTTCTTTCTGATATTTCACTCGAATGATCTGTAAGAATGATGGATATTTTCGATGTAGATGTGTCTCGACGGCTTTTGGTTGACTCCAAATAGACGACTTCTCACTCTATTTTCGGCACCAATGTACTGTAACTTGTATAGGTACGCATTGAAAAAATTATTCAACTCCTACCTTATGAGCCTTATCTTTATTAGAAATGCTGGAACAGTACTAGACGTCGATGAACACTTGCGATGTCAGCTTATATCTATGATGCCTGAATCTGTAAGTAGTCAGCTTCTTTCCAATAATAGTGAAAATCTACCTGTGCTGTTATCTATTAAACAACTTGCCTATATTTCATTCATAACAACTAGAGTAGGTAGACGGGCAAACGAATTCCCTCGGAACTCTTACACTTCGCTTTCTACCTGTTTCTCTATCTGAAGTTCACGCCTTCTATCTGGTCAAATCTTTTACTAAAATGTTAAATAGATTTAGCGAGGATGTCATGAGCGTGTGATGAAGCAAAACCGACTTTGGGACGAAACAGTCGACTTGATCTATGAAAGGACCGCTGCGTGACAAGCGGCTAGAATTAGGACTCACCTTTCATTTTAAGCTTCTGTGTTTAGAATTTCAAATGGGAAATTTTAGAAGTGTGGTTTTTTTTTGGAAAAACACTGTCTTTAGATCATTCTCACAATTCTGCTACTGTGAATGTGTATTCATCTGTACTTTAACCTGAAATAACGCAAATATAAGCAGCTCGGATATTTTTAATGTTAACGTTGTTCTCCTCCGGTACGGTCGTTGCTGGGTAACTACTGCATGTCGCTCAAATGACTTTTAATTGTGTTTTTTTCCCTACGTTGACGACATGGACAACTGTGAAATATCTTGGGGAATTTCACAAAAGATTTCATAATAAGTCCTTGTATTTATTTTCCTTTAAACATTCTCTATACAAATTGTTCGGATAAATTCAGCTCATCGTCAAAGCAAACTCAACACTAATGCTGTACGGAGACCTTTCTCTATCTCTTCATACATTCGCTCTGCTTCTCCATGTAGATTAATGTCAATAGTAGCGCTGTTCTCTTCAGAGAGAGAGTGCTCATTTCTTGGTCATGATGACATGACCTAGCTTATGCCACAAACTGTCGACCTTTCTCTTTCTTGTTATCACTCTCGGATGTGGAGTTCTCAAACACGAAGGGCAAGCATCGGTCACAAGCTGTGGTGAAATATCTGACGTTTTTGCTTACTATTTAAACCCGATATCGTAAGAAATTGTCACGCATTCTTCCTTTTGTCATACATTCCTCTTTCTTCGTCAATCTGAACTCGCATAGTGCCTGACTATCAGTTTAGTATGGAACCACTATTCATTCTTTCATTCTTACTCTTTCCTAATAGCCTATCTCGCTGTGTTATTGTAGTGTCGCCCACGGATTAAATGTTTCCTAATCTTAAGGTACCCGTTGTTGGGGGGATAGCAAGATCTGCATGTTAGCAGCAACAAAACTTTGGCTTAACTGCTGGCCCCACTCTTATTAAGTTTCTTGCAGTCAGCATCTTGACGATGTCGCTCTAATAGAGGCGTTTTCCTCTCATTTTTCAGTTTTTTTTTTCTACAAATACAAGAGCATTTTAGATAGCAACTAGTTCTATGAAATGTTGTAAGCGGTGGTGTTTAAGCTGGATGTTGTGCAACATGCCATGCGCTGTTATGCAGAGCAGATAAACTCATTTTTGTGATTCGGCTGAATGATGAGCGTGTAAAAAAGCTAATACCTTACCTAAGAAACTGCGGTATCCTTGACCTTAAAGAATTAAAGAAAAGAGTACATTTTCATTATGAGTCGTAAACTGTTGAGGCGCCAGAAAACACCAAGATTGTCACATGAGAAATGTGATCGTCTAACAATGTTTAGAGTCATCACACTGCTTGCCGTACTTCGGATTCATGTACTAAGGGGTCATGCACTGTAGCAGAATTAATCATTTCGCTGTTAAAGGATAAAGGATAAAGTTCTCGGCGTTGATCAATCCCTGAGGGATGCGCCATGCATTCGACTTCATTAAGCATCGTTTGGAGATGATTGAATGCATATTTGGCCTTTACAATGACTCGCGGTGGCCTACCGATGTATCGAGCCAGTGCTGCTATCCTCCCAGACAAGTCTGGTACCAATTTGCCGACCCCGGAGGGATGGAAGGGTTGGTGGGCCAGGGAAGCGGGGATCGATCCCATGTGTATGTTGCAAAGCGCCTCTGACCACTGCTCTTAGGAGTATACCTACAGTAGAACAGCGAACAGAGGCCGAGTACAGCGCTTCAACTTTAGACATAAACGCAATGACCAACACTTGACACCAGTCGCTGTCCCATTGTTTAAGCATTACTTTAAAACGGCTACGATCTGCAGAGTTGAGAGGCCATGCATGTTTATTACTCCGTGTTGCAGAATGAGCCCGCGGATGGTTTACATAATTGGAGTCATTCGATGTCATTCGACGTATTTGTATAGAGGTCGAAAAACTCCATCAAGTACGCGCTGCTAGGGCACGCATTACGTAGACGGCCCAAAAACATTTTGAATGTTCGTAAAACGGGTTCAAATGTGTACCAGCAAAACAGGTATTAGGTTTATAAACCCCGCTATTCTATCTGTGGGCATATCTATACAGGCGATGATAGGTTTAACCTTGCACAGTGATGGATTTGTAGTAGGTAGCTCGATTCTAAGTGTCGAAAGAACTGATCGTTTTAAAACTTCTACGCTTGCCCCACGGTAACCTTCTACTATTTAACAACTTGTTTAACAGTCTTTGCTTTTCTTTTCTCTAAACCACTTAATTTCCTTCCCAAATATAAATGATAGTTAGGATTTCTTAAAGGTGTTAATGGTTTCATAGAAGATACCGAAAACCGAGAGCTGATAACATCACTTCCGGAAACAGCACCCATCCAATCCTAGAAATTCAGCACTTGGATAGACTAAAGCGCTGGAATTCTCACTGAACTTTAACTCATTTCGGTCAACTAAGAGAAGGATGCTGAAAAATGTCTCACAGGATGAAAGCATGCTGAGGATATGAAGTAGAAGACACCTTGTCCTATCGCCTTAGGCGTAGATCGAAGTTCTTAGTGAACATATTGTTTCAATTATGTATTTCTTTAGGATTAAATTTTTCAAAAAATTGGAGAAACAGAATTTTATTTTAGAATGGTTGTAAAACTTCCCTTGTAAACAAGTACCTGCTGATGCTATCGGTTTTACTAAGTTGGTTTGAAATTATAAACGACCATTATTCTCATAAATAACACTAAAGATCTGCCATTTCGATACTACATAAATAAAACGGTAAGTTCCCGTGGTTTATCAAACTTTGAAGGATGCGTTGTACGACCGAGACCACTCAAGCACCGTTGGAAGTAAGTGATTCAATGAATATCTGACCTATACAGTGATTTGCTGTTGTTTACTTATGTATCGATAATCATTGTCTGTTTTCCTCCCACACAAGTTAGCTACCAATTTGTCGATCCCGAAACTATGGATGAAACCATGTGCCGACAAGTTACTGAATACTCGTAATAATTAGCTACAAAAGGATAAAGCTCTCGGCATAGATCAATCTCTAAAGGATGCAGGATGCATTCGACATCATTAAGCATCGTAGGAGGTGACTGAGTACGTATCTGGCCTTTACAATAACTCGCGATAGCTTATCGATGTATCGGGCCAGTGCTGCTATCCTCGCAGACGACTCTGGTACCAATTTGCCGACCCCGGAGGAATGGAAGGCTTGGCAAGCCACGGGCGCGGGGGTCGATCCCGCATGTGTATCGCATGTTGACCACTACGCTACAAGTTCCCCCATAATTACCTATATGAAAACCACAGGCCTGTTAATATTTTCTTCTTGGTTGGAAGTTTCGGAAGTCCAACAATACCTCGATAAGGAAACGAAGTACTTGATTTCGACACCAGTCCAAAATGAAAAACATGGCGCTGTTGTTGACGCATCTCGATCCGACGGGTGTTTTCTTATTCGCGACCGGCCTCCTCGTCGTCTGTTTTGATAGAACTTACGCGCATTAATCAATAACCTGTCTGCTAACTCACGCGTTTCGCCGTTATCCCTTTTTTCACTAGGTGTGACGACGTATTGCTTTCTTAACAGCTTGTCATTTGTGATGTTGTAGTAAACGATGTGAAATGTCCAAAACATCACAGACAGGGGGTTGTTCTGGTCTTCCCCACCAGGTTTTTGCCGATTTGCAATGGGGTATGTCGAAGTTCATAACAGGACCCATCGGAGGTCGTGTAATGGATACCCATTGCTTATTCCTGGGTTCGATTTCGTTTTATCTCTCAAATTTGAAATCCTGGGTGAAAACGTTCCGAATGTATGGGGTCTTGGGCTGTGCTGCTAGGCATTTTCTATGAAAACACGAGCGCTGTAAACATTGCAATCCATTGCGCTCAAGTTTATTCCTTTTACTTTTCGGATAGCAGAAACACCTTATTTATTGATAAAACCTTATCATATAGTTTCCACTGCTAGTGGTTATTTATATTCTGTGTTTTTATCCTAATTCAAGCTGAAAAATTTGCATATCACTTTTCCCGCGGCCTCCGGAAAGGATAATAGCGAGTTCGATCCCTACCGCAGACACCTGCGGTCCGGAGTTTCGCAAATATCTCAGCATCATTGTGGTTATACAACATTTTTGTTTTAACATAAACACAGAAAAAGGTCTATAGAGGACCATTTGAATAACAAATGAAGAACTTCGATGACTGAGTGGAAGTAAAAGTAAAATAAAGTGAGTAAAAGTGACCTATGGACTACTTTTGCACCATAATGAACAAAGTGATCGATTACCACTATGCTATTCGAGTACTGAAATAGTTACTTCAGTGCCACCAACTGTTTTCTAGTATCATGGTGACTCATTCTTCATAGTAGGCGTTAACCCGAACTGTAAACAAATTTCGCACTCCCATTCATGAGACCACGCCCCTGGCCCTAGAGCTCGGCTAACTACCCGTGACTACGTTATAGTCATTAATGCTATGAATGAAAAACGTCGCACAAAATGCGTAGCGCTCTTCGTGTCCAGTGAGACGTCAAACGTCACTGGTGACTAGGCTTGGCGCGCCACAGGAAGGAATGGCGGTTCCGCTCGGGCTTGTTCATTTTCATCGATTATTTTCGGGTTTCAATATTTGTTAAGCATATGATGCTTTCACTTCCTCATTTTTTACTCTAAAAGTTCGTAACTCATGTCGCATGTATATCCTAGCTTTCTTTATTTTCGTTTGCCATTATTGTCTTTTCACCTACGTCGCAATTATCCTGTTTTCCTGAAAAGTAGAAATCTCCAAGTAACATGAATTATGAATTCTTTTTCCTAAAACTTTAGAAGTAAAATAAGCATTTGGACAAACTGTTTTCTCAATAGTTCTCGATTTTCTTGTTTTCTTAATATTTTCAAATTCATAGCTTTCATATGGAATGAAGCGTTAAGAATTTGACGCTGTTTTTCTTCGTATCCCTTATACTAATTTATCCTTGTACCTAAAAGTTGACCTATACCTTCCCCAGTCACTTGCATAGCCCTAATGAGGTATCGAGCCAGTAATTCCTATGACGCGTTTTCTCTTAACTTCAGCATTGATGCTGTTTTCTTGCTCACCACACCCGACATTGTTATTAAACTCTTTACTAACAGTAGATAACGTTTCAACGGATTTCACCTTCGTTAGATCCTCGAAAGATCAAGTTAACTGCAGTCTAACTAATCAGCCAATTATTTTGACCTTTCTAGGCTCTTCATAAGGCGAAATCCACCGAAACCTTTGCTACTATTAGTAAATAGTGTAATAACAACAGCTTCGAGTGTTCCTATCAATAATACAGCGAGTTGTCGAGTCAGCGTTTCTATCTTCCCAGAAAGTATGCTACCCATCAGCCGAACTGGCAAGGATAGCGGCAGGTTTGATAAGTCCGGCGCGAGTGTATTGAGTAACACCTCTAATCTTTGCGTCCCAGTTCCTACATAAGTTCTCATTTAGGACTTTTCTTTTGAGATTAACATTCCTATGTACTTAGCGATATAGGATCGGCAACATAAAGAGCGAGCCTCTCACTTTCGTTCGCGCTTATTAGCAAGGCCAACATCGACTAAGAGTTGAAAATAAGTTTGCATAACCTTATCGTAGGGATGGCTTAGTCTTCTATTGTAGTCGTTCTTTATAGTTCCTTTCTATTACCGCACATCGATGGTTTTCATTCGTTTATTTCATTGACCACAGTGTTTTATTTTTTGAGCTTCAGTGATGGCTCTGGCTGGACAAATCGCGATTGTCACAGGCGCTTCGCGAGGGATAGGTAGAGTTTTTCCGTCCACCCTTTCCAAATAGCTGTTCAGAAGATAGTCCCGTTGGTGGGTGATTGCTGATGGCACTGGTCGATAAAAAACTAGCTGAGAGACAGGCTAAACGAAGGACCCGAGTGGTGTGGTGATGAACGCGTTAGCTTCCGGAAAGGGTAATAGCGCCTTCGTACTCCACCGCAGACACCTGCAGTCCGGAGTTTTGCAAATATCTCGGCATCATTACGGTTGTATTTCACAGAATACTTTGCTGTGAAAAACTGTAGTAGGCAGTAGATAAAAGCTAACAATTTACGGCTTTTGTGTTTGCTGTTTTCATAAATTACCCATCTTTCCCAGATTGTTTACTCACCTATCGGTCTTAAACGATCCGTACTTAGTTTTTAGCCATTAAGTTTTTCCGACAACCTGAACCTGTAGTGTCTTAAAGCTCGTCCTATTTTGTTCTGTTTCTAACGCGCACATGTTTGAGGTCGAGGGATTGCGTTGCAGTTGGGGACAGCTGGTGCTACAGTGTATGTCACTGGTCGGAAGCCATCACAGAGCGATTCATCCAGAGACCAGTCACTTCCTGGCTTAGAAAAAACAGCAAGAGGTATGCAACAATTTCACTAAGATTCATAGTTGGTTGCGTATATAACTATTAGCAGAGAATTTGGTAAAAGTATTCTAGAGGTAGTAAGTGTAGCAGTCTGGCCAATGAACAAGAATTGTGGTGAATTGACTTCGTGGATTACAATATTTTACTTCAGTTGTCAGATTCGGATAATTACCAGTTCGAGGTGGAATACTCGAATTTGTGCTAATTTACCACCCTGGAATTTTTGATGTTTCCACAGAGCAACTCTTTTGATGGGTCAAATACTGGACTATAACCGTTTATGGTAACAATAAGGGATAAAAAAGGATAAAGCTCTCGGCGTCTTCATTAAGTATCGTTGGAGATGATTGAATGCATGTCTGGCATTTACAATGACTCGCGATGGCCTACCGATGTATCGAGCCAGTGCTGCTATTCTCCCAGACAAGTCTGGTACCAATTTGCCGATCCCGGAGGTATGGAAGGCTTGGCGACGTGACGATAGACGATGATGGACATTATAAGGTGTTGAGCCAACTAACCACCATGACTAATGGGGCTGGTGCTTATATGATTTTTGTGATAGGCGGCATGTTAGTAGAGGAAACTAGAGTTAATGCTTAAAGGGAGACTCCAGAAAATTCTTCAGTTAGTACATTGAATTGAGCGGCCTACACAGAAAGTTCGTGTGAAGGCTGTATAAGAGCTCGTATAGAAGTTCATGTGGAAGCGATGCAATAGCTTGTAGCACAGAAATCACCTACAAATTTAATTGAAAATAAGTAGGCAGCGCTCTTTATTTTATAGAGAATGTTGCCTGTAGTAAATTTTTATCCGACTTACGTCATGTTTCTTCTTGGTTCACATTAACGCAGGGCTATTTTCCCACAACTGATTGCAATGATTAACGTCGAGAGCTTTTTTTAAATACCATTTAGTAGAGGTTAAATTGCGCAAGTTTTCCATATGGTGCAAATGGAGATCTTTGCAGCTGGACGTGAGTCTAGAATTTCGTAAACGTATAAAAAAACCTTTACCTAGCCGCTCTAATGCTGTAGAATTGTTGAAATTTTCAAGCGAGAATTCGAACTTTTAAAATTCATAACGCACGAGAAACAAGAATGCATCGTTTGACAATAATGGTTTCTTCGAAGAAACCATGCTTGTTCAATTCTTTCGGTTTCAAATACGATCCTCGACGAAGTAGAGAGGAGTTCCGTTTTGTAGGCTCCGGTAATTCGAAATTTTATCTTGGTTGAGTATGAAGGCTTGCTTCTTGTTGCTAGAAATTTATGAATTTAAATGGGTGTTTTCCTGATAAAGATTCATAGATTCTAATGGGTTCTTTAGTTCGATTTTTAAAAAAGTTCATTATGGGCACTATAAGAACAGATGAGGCGCGAGTGTTTTGTGTAGATATGAGTCATATGCGGCTATTCCAGGTGATTTACTGCCACATCGTGCGGAATTCAACGTTTTAACCCATACCATATAAGAGCACTAATCGAGATTGACTTCTAGTGAAAACAGCGAAGTTAAAGAACCTTGCATCAAAATCACAAAGCTTTGCATTTTTGGAGCAAACGACCCTATTCTAACACGAGACAGATATAACAGACTTAACTGGTGGTCGTTGGAGTTACTCGATTATTGATCAGATGCTATAAATAAAGAGCTTTTTGAAGTGTAAGATTAAGAACAACTTGCAGAAGTCTCAGGGGAAGGTGTTAGTTTCATGTATGAATACTAGCTCGTTTTATGCGTGGCTCCATTTTGCCAAGAAATCACAGGAAGCACCAGTTTACCAAAGCGCCATAGAAACAAAATCTTCAACTCAGGAAACCTACTTGACTCAAGAAATGTAATTCTAATTTGTAATTCCACTTTTATTTCAACCTTGTTTTTCACTAGCTATAAATTTGTAAATTGAGAAGGTGTGTTAAAGAAAAGTCGTACGTTTAGAAGTAAGCGAACGAGGCGGAAAGGGAATCGCGTCATACGTTGACCATTCGAACATGGATGAGGTCAAGGAATTCTTTGAGAGAATCGAACGCGACGAAAATGGCCGACTGGACATTCTTGTAAACAACGCTTACTCTGCTGTAAAGGCAAGATTTTTGTCATTAAAATCCTTATTTTCTCTTCCTTGTTTAGCTAAGTTGTTGGTTTCTATGCGTTCAGATATTTTAACAGTTGCATGGCCTGTTTTCACGATTCGGAAAGACTGCAGCATACATTAAATTTGTTTTTTCCTTTAAACAGCCAACTATGCCGAAGTTCATCCTTCCACTCTTCACCGAGCAAAATGCTTGACCCTCCTTAAGGTCAACTGTACCGTTATTGTTATCCCTTCTGATGGCAACCCCATATGTTCTGCTTTCGATATGCATTTTCCTGGATCTCGATGGGATAAACCTCGATGATGTGAACTCTGTGTCGTCCGGTTCTTATGTATTTCGGGTATTATGGTGTTTCAGGAAAGACCGTTAGAAACTACCATGGGTGATGCGCAAATTTCTGTCGTTGGTATGTTGTTCTGCGTCTCAAGTGCACCACAGAGCTAGTCGGAAACAGTCAAAAGACTAGGCGATGGCGGAACGTTGAATCGTTTTTGACCGGTCCTTTCTCTGAGGCCCTTGTGAAATCCATGCTGCTGTCCCACACAATTCGTTCTTCAGGTCGTCGTTTCTGTATTCATAGAGTGTCCTTGGGGCAGAGGTGGCAAAGGTGTGGTACGGTTGCTGTGACCTTTGCATGGTATCATAAGTTATTCGAAAATTCATCTTCTTTTGATTTGTTAGCATTGTTATTGTTTTATCTGCTGAGTTGAGGTTTTCAAATACTAGTTCTCTCCCATTGATACTTCTGTGAAGGTGCAATAGTAAGTATGAAGTTTTTATGTAGAGCGGATCTGCTTCTTGATCGGCAAGTGCTGGTAGCATGCCATATGTTTCTACTCTTGTTAGATACCTTTTCATTATCGATGAAAGTTAAATCAAATGGCAGCTAGAATTCCCGACAGCCTCCGTTGACATATAATTTAATGTGGTCAGTTCAACGGAAAACCTGTCAGAATCCTGCTCACTTAATTGGTTGAGTGTAAAGCTTGCTCAGAAGGGAAATCAGCGATAGTTATTAGAACACTTTCGGTCCGTCTTAACGACCCAGACGACCACAACCGACGTCTTTTCGGGGATATGTTTTCATGTTGACTGAGACAAGTGCGAGAATGTCGAGGATTCATTTCGAAGGGTTTCGGTTGCGAATTATCTTACCGTGGAGTTTTGCCTGTCTTTATGCTCATGATCGTAGTTCGAACATCATTGGAAAGAACGCGTTAGTAAGACGACAATTCACTGATAGCAACAGATAGTTATCCTATCATTTGTCAACAGTAACTGCATAATTTTATATTCGCATAGTCGAAAAGTTTTTTTGCACAGATTTGTTTCTTAACATGTTTCGAATAACTTCTTCCTCTCAAGTATCCTCTTGGAAGAAAGTTCACAACTGGCCATTGTTACCAGCTAGTAGGTGTGACGCAGTCAAATTTACGTTTATTTTCTTTTCTTCCCTTATCAAGCATCTTCTGGTGTGATAGTGAAAACGGGATCCGAACTTCTCCACTGGTGTTCGGCACGGCTTTTAAGTCAATTGCCGAGAAGTGTGTAGTTTTCAGTCGACTCTTTCTATATCTGCCATTTGTGTAGAGAAAGAGTTCCTTGTAGAATGTGTTTATCATACATAACTTTTCTTTTCATCCTTAGGCCACAATAGATGTTGTTTTTCAGCTTGCATCATGCATTCGATTCAAATCATCTTATGGGGAAGGTAGTGGTTAGACTTTTCCCAGTAGTGATAATGTTACCTAGGATGTTACCTTTCATTTGTGAGGATGGGGTTGATATCAGCATAAGTTGTACTACTAGACGATTTCGATGTTCAATAGCTACCGTTATCTTCTCCGAAAATGAATGTCCATTGGTAAACTGAACTGTGAACAGGGACCCAGTAGTAGAGTCCTCATTCTCATTTTGCTGTTCGACGACAGTTTTTATCAGCATTCCTTTTACCACTTATGGTAAGGGTCTAGTTAGTTTAGTTGCCTTATGTCGTTCTCTTTTTTATTTGTCGCTTATGGGGATCACGCAGAATTAAATATTACCTGCGGCGTCAAGAAGAGTATGACGATGAAGAGGACCACTTGAGAAGACTATTTTGATTTTTAAATGTAGAACGAGAAATTATCTCTGTAGACTGTCATGCGGCTGTTATTTTCTTACGGTGAAATGGTTTTCTGTGCAACCACATTTTGTTTACTTTGCACGGGTTCTCTCTGTCTCACGGTGCAGAAGGGAGCTGACAGTTTACTTACTTACTTGGCTACTTGGATGGCCCGTCTTCGCTGGTTGTGCGGACCCCAGCACAATTTATGTTGTTTTGATGTTTTGCTGGTTTAGCCATTGTGGTTCCTTGCCGTACCGAGGCCATCCAGGCGAAAGCCTGCCCCAGGTCGTCAACACCATCGACTTTTATGGATCAGAGGGAGATTTGCCACCATGCGACTAATTTGATACCAGGACAGTAGTCGGCTCTAGTATTAGTTTATTCTTAGCTGGACTTCCTGACGGAAACGTCGGACTCCTCAGCTTGGGAGAGTCTGCTGGAGGGATGAATCTCTCGCTGTCCATTGCAGGCGGTAAGCCGTTAGAAGGCGCACAGTTTGCAAAGCATAAAGACAAAAATGTTTTATTTCCGTTGTGCCAGACTTAACGATGGCTTTGATAGGGCTTTCGAAATGGTCACTATTGTCTGTTACCGGTCACTGTATATAGGAGGAAAAGTTGCATCTTGGTTGATACGAGACCGGCGGTGATTGCTGGTACCGGTTTACAGCGACTTCCTGTATTGGTTTTTCCTGCGCACTCAGAAACTCACTGCCATGTGGCAGAATACCACTAAACTATAATACCTAGATAGGAAGTTAGGTTGCTGTTTTTTTTACAATATATGTCTTGTGAATAACTCATAACATTTGCACGTCCGGTATTTGACGTACGATTTCCATATCAGGTTAATGCAACGTCAAATCTATGGGTTATATTCGCTGTGTCATTTGAAATGTCCCTTTTCTGACTTTTAGAATATCTTTGAAGCACAAGGAAAACCCTTCTACGAATGTCCACCTGAGATGTGGGACCAAACCAACAATGTTGGGTTAAGGTGAGTTGCAGTAATCGTACGGCATTCTATTTTCCATTTGCTTAGCCGTAGTGAACAGTGAAATTACCTTATAAGGATAACCAAATGTATAGTACAAGGAGATGGTCATGGAGGGCTCAAAATCGGTTGCGATAGGTTTTGTTAAGTGTATAAAGTAGAAAATAAGTAGATACTTTAAATCCCAGTCGTATTGGACAAAGAATCTAGAGATTCGGTTTCAGGAATCACTATTATTGCTCAGTATATGCTGCTCGAATGATGGTTAGAAATGGTAGTGGTCTCATCGTGAATATAAGCTCGGCTGGTGGATTAAGGTGAGAGTGAAAATTGAGTGGTATGAGCAAAAAATGCAAATGATTGTTGTTTTTACAAATGTGATACAAAACATACTTCGGTGCACTATGGAGAGTTAAGATTTATCAAATGATGAGGTTATTTCGTTTCGTTGAAATTTTCTATCATGGAAGTGCTATCTTTTATGCGAAGTGACCTCGATTCAAGTTGCGTTTGTAATATCGAAAGTAATCTCCAGTTTGGAGTAAATTGGGATAAGGATGAAGCTCTCGGCGTTAACCAATCTATTTTGGATGAGCCATGCATTCGACTTCATTAAGTGTCGTTGGAGGTGATTGAATGCATATCTGGCCTTCACGATGACACGCGGTCGCCTACCGATGTACCGAACCAGTGGTGCTATCCTCCCAGACAAGTCTGGTACCAATCTTCCAATCCCCTAGTGATGGAAGGCTTGGTGAGCTTGGGGCTTGGAGATCGATCTCATGTCTATTGGAGGGCGCCTCCGACCAATGCGCTATTCGCGCCCCGATTGAAGTGCAGTTGTTTATTAATAAGACAAACAGGTCCAATTGCAGTTTTTATAATGTGAGTGTCCCATCCATCCATTTCACATCTATGTCTTGTAGAATACGAAATTGAGGTATTTCTTGGTGTGAAACCCAAAGTACTTCTTGATAATGACGTGTGTTCGTCAGGAGACATAGTTGTTCCATTGTGTGTCATGCCTAGAGTTATTCTAGCATTTCACATCTCAAGGACATAACAGACTATTGTGTGTATCCAGTCAGTAATTTAGTGCAGAGGCCACAGATAATAGATAGGTCTGCGGTTTAATTCCCAGCCTTTTGTTTGTGTGACTATTCCACCTTTGGTTTCCTGTGAATGCGAATGAGATGTTCCTTAGAGCAGTCCTAAACGTCTAATTTATTCATTTAGCTGTACATCCATTGGAGTACTTACCTGAAACGGACATGTAGCTTATTCATTAAAGCTGAAGCCGAACCGCGGCCTGTGTAGTCCTCAGGCCATCGTTTACGGGCTATTGGTCGAATCAGCGTACAGCCTGCATGCAACACAGGCGTGCATTTCTTTATGAACATTTCTACTTCAGTACGTAGAGGGTATAGGCCACTTAGGTTCTCCAAAGATGGATTTCATCAGCTGGGTACACCTACATCTAGAGACAAGTACATGAACACTTTTGGTCTACATTTCGCGCAATCTCCATACCCTGCGACACATTAAGCAACCTTGGGGTTCCTCACGCAAAGGAGATCTGTGGATCGGACTATGATTAGAACATTCTGTTCACAAAATACGCGACAGGTCTTAAGATTGGTTCATTTTTGAGTCCTGTACCTTTTTTCTACGTCCGCCTATCCAACAAGTCATTTTGGTAACTATGGAAAAGCGGTCTAAACTTCAGGGTTGGAATGGTGATCATTACTTATCACCGTCTTGGAACTTGATAAGCTACATTTTGTCTTTGGTCACATCTTCCTAGATACGGAAATTATGCTAGGCAAGCCTTTCGTTGTAGACGTTTAAGAATTACCCTCATTCTTTCAGACGATGGCGGCTGTTTTACAGCTTTGCATAACAGAAACGTTGCTCCTACTCCATGCGGAAATGTAGTACTAGTACTGCTGAGGTGTCGCGTAGAAGTTTATGTAAGTACGAAGCCGCAAATAGAAGGAAGTGAGCATTTGACGGGTTAGAAAGGGATTTGAAGCACATTGTGGTGGCAGCTTCTCGTGCTCGTGGTGTATTGCATGGTGACAATTAAGTGGAATAGTGAGGTTGATTGACCTTCGACCTCGATAACACCTTGAAAACAGTATTGCTTCCATGTTGAAAGTGACAAAGTTTTCGGAAGGGAACATCGAAGATGTGTCCACTGACATATTTTTGGCTGGCTCATCGCAACTTGGTGTACAGGAAAACATGACTGTGGTGAGCTGCATGGTAAAGAGATATTACGCGAAACATGGATATTGAGGTTGTTTTTTTAACGTTCTTAGATTATTAAGCTAACACGAGGTTGATAAACACGTTTATTCGGCTAAGGAAGACGAGGAAGACGGAATACAAGTCGATTAAACATCTTTATCAGCTTCATGTTAGTTTAATAATCTAAGAAGGTATTAACTGCTAATGCCCCCAGGTTGTTTGACGGTCGATTTGAAAATATTGACTTTTTTCTTTATTTTTAAAAAATACAAGAGCTTGCTGAGCTGAGCTTCGTAGCGAAACATTCACCAGAAAAGTCCAACATATGACGTCATCATAGGTAAGTTCCAAGTCTTGATGTGTTGGTTATTGTTTTGTTATTATTGCTAACATCACTCTATGACCGAATGATTTTTCTGTTTATCTGCCATTTTTGTTTTTTTTATTATGTTTATTAAGATATTTGTTCAATGTTCCCTACGGTGTTGGAAAACAGGCTCTCGACAGAATGGCATCTGATATGGCTGAAGAATTAAAGGTAGGCACACACTAGAAAAGTCACATTTGTGAAGAAAATCCCAGAACTTTTAAGCTTTTATAATTCGTAACCATTTGTTAACTCCGATCGGTAGGAAAAGTGACCATTGTTTCAGAAAAAGAATGTGTGCGTGGTCTCAATTTGGCCAGGTGCAGTACGAACTGAGTTTATTACCAACGTTATTACTGAGAAGAAGAAGGACAAGGTTTTGATTTTGCAAAAATTTTGAAATTTCACAAGGGTGTAGGTAATACTTAGGTCCATTCACTTCCCCTGCAGCAGCTTCACACTCGTTCTTTAGCAAAGCTATGAGCAGTACTTTACACAGGTAAAGAGTTCACAAGCGTTAAGAGTTGGATCTATCGTTTAAGAATGTGCTGTGTATTGGACTCCATTTTAAGCACTGCATAAGGGTGATTGAACGCGTATTCGGTGTATACAATGACTGCCTAGTAGTGTATCCAGTTAGTGCTTTTATTCTCCCAGACAAGTCTGGCGCCAATTTCTCTACACTGGAAGAAGCGAGAGATCGGTTGCTTGAGGGTATGGTATCAAACCAAGGAACAAATGTGTATTGTTTTTGGAATTTTCATCCACTTTTTTACGAAGAAGGAAAGCTCTTCGAAGATAAAATGTCCCTGTCGACAAGCTAACAATCTATATTCTTCGTCATGTTTCCAAGTACTAAATTTGGGGAATTGGAGTTACTTAACGCTGCCGATAAGCTGCCACTGATTTGATGGAAGTTTATGTTGTGCTGCTGCTAGTTCGATTCCGCTTCGGGTCAACCAAGCTTCTCATCCCTCCGGAGTCGAAGAGTCGGTACCAGACTTGTCTGGGAAAAAAAATCTCTCTGCAATCCAGTTGGGAACACTCCAGCCCGGTTATCTCAGGACTCTAGGAAGAATTACTCTACCAGCATTCTGCGACATTCAAGATGAAATGAAAATCCTCATGTAGCAACGGAAGCCACACGTAAAAGTTGGAGGATCCTCGTGGACAATGGATGCGAGGAAACGAATCGAATGTGAGAAGTGTTGGGATCCGCATAGTAGGCGTGAAAACAGGTCATGTAAAATAAAAAAAAATTACATTGTGCTGCCCATCTTCCCAACAAGAATGGTCGCTGTAGAAAGTTCAGCTTCCAATGAGGTATCCGAAGTTGTTTGTCCCAAATATGAGAGTTATTTTCCTCAGGTAACTGAGATGTTCGAACAAGGTGAAACGCCCGAGTATCCGGGCAAAGCTGTTGTAGCTTTAGCCAGTGATGGTCGACGAATGGAGAAAACTGGGCGAATACTAATTACCGAAGATTTGGGAAAGGAATACGGATTCAAAGATATCGATGGTAAGTAGTGTAGTGAGATGCTGTCACTGTTTCGCTTTCCATTCCGTACGTTCTCAGAAGTTGTTCATTGTTGCAGTAATTAAGCTCTCAAAAATAGTACTCTTGTGTGCGACATCCAAGAGTGTAGTGTTGACTAGGAATATTTTGAGGTCGAGAACCACCAAACCTTCGCAGTATCACATTTCTGCTATTGCGTGGCGGTCACAACCAGCTCGCACAGTGGGTACCGTCGTGGCTGAAGGTACCTGGATGGTTCTTATGGGGAAGTACTAGCCGGCTATGAATGCTCATGCTAAAGATGCTCGAAAAAAAATGAGAGGCTCACAATATGAAAGAGCAATGGTCATTCTTTACCAAAATTTAGTCCTTGTTACAATATTTGTAATCCTGAAAAGAACATGCATTAATGTACCATGGTAGAGAATCCACAAATACGTTTGTGTTCATATTGTTGACAAATCGTTGTTAATAAAACTTTGCATTGAACAGGTAATGAACTATCGCATTGTAACTTCTTGCAAATGACCGTCCTCACACAGCAGTAAGTAGCGGCGATACGTTTACTAACTGACTTCAAAGTGTTAACTTTTTTCATTTACTTGCATTTTTATCTACTTTTACTTGATTCGGCTCCCCAAATCAATCCCATTGACGAGTGATTGCTGATGGCACTGGTACATAGGAAGCTAGCTGAAAGAAACGCAGAGCAAGGACCCACATAGTGTGGTGGTGAACGCGCTAGCCCTCGCATAGGTTAACATCGTGTTTGGTCCCCACTGGAAAGACCTGCCATCCGGAGTTTTGAAAATATCTCAGCATCATTGTGGTTGACTTCAAAGTGTATCAACTTGGTGAAGTGCGTGTGTCTTAATGGTAGACAAAGTTTGCTAATGTATAAAATCATTAGCAGATTCTAGTTCTGAGTACACACTCTTCGACAAGGTTTATTTTCGTCTTTTATGTGCAAATTTATTTCTTGCACAGCCGAGTTTAAACCGCATTGGACAACTCTGGTGGGAATTCCTACCGAATAACATTGTTTGAAAAAGTATACTATACAGCATAGACATGTCAAACATATCAACTAAGTTTCGAGGGAATCAGTAAATGTAGCACACCGAACAAACTAAAGTTTACCCAAACCCAAAGGATATTACAGTCCATACAACGCTTAAGCAGACAACTATCTTCAACCAATCAAGAATTCTAGAATGAAAGTTCAATGACGATCGGAACTCCGAGTATTCGGAAACTCCTACCTTCAGGTTGACACGAATCATACGCACCTCGGGATGTTTCCGTTATTATCTACGTTAGACTTTGAATGTATGAACAAATACAAACGGAATAAGCGAAATGCATGATTTTCTGTTGTTGACAAGGAAGAATTCTCTATTCTTAGTTTGACCTGCTTCATTTCATGACTTCTGTAAAGAAACTTCATGATCATGGACATCTGTGAAGTATGAAATCTGCCTTTGGATGTTTGATTCGTAAAGATAGATCAATGAAGGGAACTAATCATGCAGTTTGCCACAAATCTATAATATTACAGCGAAACCCATATATAAAGAGTAACCAGTACAGGTTAGTCATGCTTCTAGCTTTGACAGAATGTCGTAAGTAAGATTAGTGATGTGACGAAATCGATCTGGACCTAGGTGAATGCCTCCATACCATCGTGAAACAATAACCTAAGAAGAAGGACGGATGCAATGGGCATACATTAACGTACAAATCTGATAACCAAGGAGTCACTTACGAGTACATTGTCTGCTCTCATTTTTTCCAGTAGTTGCAGCATTTTGCTACTGGCTCCTGTCTCCCCATCGTCAAAGCAGTTTTGCAACCTAGAACACTAAAACGAATGCTTTCACATTTACAGATAAGTACTACATAACGGAAGTTTACAGAAGCATCAGACAACTCCCATGAGTTTTGTCCACATTTCTATACTATTCAAATGTATACCACAATTTCTTCCATAGATATTACTTGTATACTTGGATGGCCCGTTTTAACTGGTTGTCCGGGCCTCCGCATAATTTCCACTTTTTCGGAATTTTACTGGTTTAGCTAATGTTCCCTGGAGTCCCGAAATCAGCCTAGCCAGTCTACCCTAGGTCGGCGCCACCACAAGCAGTCGCCGTCCTTGTGGATCGGAGGGATTTGCCACCATGCGACTAACTTGGCACTAGAACAGCGGTGGATCCTGTATTGGTTTACTTTGGCTGGACTCCTGATGGAAAAGTCGGACTGTTTCTTAGTTTGGGAGACACTGCCGGAGGGGCGAATCCTCCCGCTGCACATCGCAACCCGACACCCAGGAACACCTCTCAGCCACAATGAGGTGGTAAAGGGTTGGATGGCCAAATAGGATAACGTTCACTTAATCCTATATTTGCTTTTAAATATGGATTTAGGATCTATAGAAGAGGCTTTACCCTATCGTCTTAATTGCATAATAGTTTTTACAAAGTTTTACTTCAACTTTAAATACGGTTAATATCGAAATTTTCAAGAAATTAGAACACGAACCAAAGATTTAAAATCACCAACACAAAAGCACTATCTGCAAACATAAACTGCACATCTAGGAACAGCAATAAAGTGGAAGAAATATATGCCATAAGCTCCAGAAAACCATAAACTCACTATGGCATAATAATTTGTACTTCGTAGACAAAAATTTATAGATCCCAACTATTTTTATCCTAAGTAGTCAAATCTAGCATGAGGCATAATGATTCAAAGCTGAAAGTGGACGCTATTTCGCATTAAATGCATTTTATACAATGCACCTTGTACGTTATGTGTGAATACCCCCCTCCCTAGCGTGCTGGGTCAGCTTAATTGCTGTCACTATTCCCTGACTGAGAAAAACACTGGCCTGATTGATACCTAGACCAGCACAATTTATCGTGTATGCCAGATACGCATCCAATAACCCCGAACAACGCTTAATGAGGTCGAATAAATGGCTCATCCATAGAGTTTGGTCAACGCTAAACGCTCTACCCTTTTTTTTCACAGTTTATAGTTGTCACAGTTATCACTGCCTTGTTTCTTACCATATTAATTATCGTTTCGGAAGGAAATATGAGTGATCTCCACTATTTGAAATGATAAATGGCTATAAAATACGAAAGGTCCCACAACGACACTCGATGGCTTAGTCAATGAGTGTACTACGAGGCTATGAGTTAGTTTGTAAAACGGTCGCAATGGAAGGAAGGCAGTTTATGAAACGAAACAGAAAAATGTATTGTATTGCTACTACGCAAATAGGAAAAAAGACAAGGGTGCCAATTGTTCCTAACACAAAATTATACGGAACCTTGTGATTCGTCCATCTTTGGACTGGATGATTCGATAAGCATAGATGTTGTGAGTAGCACGAGCAATTTTCGGATTTTCCAGGAGACGTTCCAATACTAACTTTACCTAAAATCCAGTAATTGATAGTGAAAGAAGTGGTCCCAAATTCATATGTCTCCACGAGAATGGATGATTTTATTCGATGTAATTTCTTATTGAAAATACACATTTCGTTTGTTGAATTAAAACAGAAAACACATCTAATGTAAGAAATATTTACTTGGATTACTTGAATGGCCTGTCTTCACTAGTTGTGGGGATCGTAGCATAATTTTCACTTTTCCAGAGTTTCGGGGGCTTAGCCATTGTTATTCCCTTGAGCCCCGAGGTTAGTCTAACTAAAGTCCGCCCCAGGTCACCACGACACGCAGTCGCCGATTTTGTGGAACAGAGGGAGATTTGCCATCATACGACTAGTTTAATACCAGTACGATGGTGGATACTGGTATTGGCTTACTTCTAACTGGGCTTGCTGATAGAAACTCCAGACTCCTTCTCGGTTTGGAAGACTCTGCTGCGTGGATGAATACTCCCCCGCTGTACTCCGCAGGCCAACAGCCTGGAACACCTCCCAGCCACGATAAAGTGGTAAACCGTTGGGAGAAATGTAAGAGATATCATTGACCAAATATAAAAAACAGTGTAAAGGAAATTTGACCACTCAATGCGAATTCCCCTTCTACTTTTGATTTTGGTGTATGTATTATAAAGGAATTCCACATACCTCGTCTTCACTGTGAACTCTGGCTACGTGGGCTTGGAAGTGACTCTTGCGATCAGTTAGCACATCACCATGCTGGATTGCCGGGACCACGACGTTTAAACGAGAATCATGTTTATCCTCGTTATCTGAAGCGTCATTCGAACAATCCGGCCCACTTTCTGACACCACCCTGTTCTAATGGAAAATTTTAGGCGTTTCTCTATAACTGCAGAAATATCAGTGTGGGGATAAATATGAAACACAGTACTATTGTAGAAAGCCGATACTACAAAGGTATTGGACGGTAAAGACCGATTTTAAGCTCAAATAAGCTTTAGGGTCCTTAAAATCACAGATGAAACCAGTGATCGCTAACTGTACAGAGCTCAGAGAAGTAAAACAACCAACCTCGAGGAAATTTTTCACCATAGTGACCAAAGTATAAATAATTGGAGATCCCACATTCTCCAGCATGACATTATTCAACGAAGATATCAACTCATGTCGTTCATCTCTTGAGAGCGACGGACCACTCAATTCATACTGTGGCAACTCTCTAAAGTACAAGGAAGCTCTATTTCATTTTCATGGTTCCATACTTCTATAACGAGCAGCTCCAAACGATCATTAACGTAGTGGAGGGAACTCGTGACTTTATAGATAAGAACCTCACAATCTGTCTTCCCAGACACTAGTTTAAACTACCAAGTTCACGAAATCCATGGTATAACTCCAGTGAATTCCACTTCCACGGCGAGTTTAAATCGTCAAATCATTTTTCAAGCAAATTTAGATAGAAGTACAAGTTGTGACTTCATCTGTTCACGCTTATTTCAACGGAACTGATATTTTAAGGATCATTAACAGTAAAATCCTAAAATAACCAAACAAACGCCCTGTTATCAACAGCCACTTGATAGCAGGCATCGATCGACAACCGAAGAATGGGTGAATGCTGATAACAACTATAGGTAAAAACACGGCTGAGAGAAGGGGGAAACGAATGACCCGTATGGTGTGGTGGTGGACGCATCGTCAGCCCCCAGATAGGATAGCAGCGAGTTCGATCCCCAGCACAAACACCTGCAGTCCGAAGTTTCGCAAATGTCTTAGCATCATTGTAGAGAGGTGGTAGCTTATAACCAAACTAACTAAAGCAGAAATGGACTCACTGAGAGGGATATGTCTCCGGTAGAACTATCGACAGCTTCACATTATCTCTAAACGTGAAGCGCACTTTGTTTCCACTTCCAAACGAGATCAAATCATTGAAGATTGATTCCAGAATTTCCAACTCAGCCTGCTGCGCCTCTAGATCTCCCATCCAAGAAAACACTCCTCAAAAAAGTGACACAGTGAAGTGACAAAGTCACAAACGGGGACATCGGACCATCGGGAACGAAAAAAGATACCTTGTTAGTAAAATTTGTAAGCTCCAAAATATCCCTGACCACTGGTCGAGCGTGGAACCTGACCTTGATTCAGCACAGAGAGGCAGACCAGTTCAGCCCAGTCCTGAAGAGAACTTCGTCGACAGCTGCCCCAAAGCTCGCCCGTCCACGGGAAATCACCCAACGACACGCCGTCGTCCGACCATAAGGCGGCGTTCGCTGGCGTCTCGTCGGTCAGTTATTCCTAATTGTGAGAGGTCTGCACCTATGCTTTAGAGTAGGACGTTATTTTATTTTCGACGGTCTTTTTGGTAGTGTGGTTTTTTCGGTCGCCTCTCGTTATTACGGCTCGCCATGCACTCGTTTTTGAAGGGTCCCTGTCTTGTAGCTTCGATAATCGGAACATATACTGCCTTTTAGCCAGTCTTCAATTCTTTTGGTCCCATGCCATTCTATGGTTTTCAGGTACAAGGTATCAAGTGTTGAATAACAGATCATGTAGCGGAATTCCTAAACAAGACCCTTCATTTGTTACTGGTGAAGATCGGTCACCATCTAAGGATAATATGACTACTGTTGCTGGGCAGACGAAAGGTAATGACGATATCCAGTTTGCTTTGAATCTTTACAAAATTTAGGGATTGTACTAAATAAGGATGACTTTAGTTCCAGCGAAAAGTTTGGTGGTGGACAAAACTATCGATGGCATAAATTAGAGAACTATAAGAAGGACTTTTTTCCAGAACGGCACCCTAGGAAGAAGCGTGCACATCATCAGCAGATGGGATCATCTCCAACCAATAGGTCAGTTTTACTTAGGTACTGTGGTGCCTTCTACTTGGCCGTGTATTGTCCGGTTATAGAGACTCTAACGGTGAACATCGCTCAACTCAAGGACCTCAGAAGAGTACATTCTTCAAACCACACTTGTCCGACTACGAAATTCAGTCCGGGCTAGAAAGCGGTGTACTTTTGAAGGTACAAACATCCTTCTCAAATCTAAGAAAGAAAGGACCATGAGTATTCTCAGTATTGTTTAAGAAATAGGAGAAAAATCATATCAAAATTCTTCATGAGTGGTTTTTACTGATTTGACATTTGCTTTGTAACTCATAGTGACAGGGAATAACTCAGATTACAGGGTAGTATACGAATAAATCAAAGGAGGTTCGAAGAAGCGTTCATCAACAATCCCGATGGTAGTGATTTCACTGACATTGCCATTCTGGGAATGAAGGATCGGAATCGGGCACTTCATGGTGACATCGTTGTGTTTCGGATCAAAGCACGATGTGACTGGGTTGTAAGTTTCTTCTTTTTCCTTGAGCTTACGGTTAGAACCACAGCGATGCTAAGGTATTTGGAAAACTCTAGAATGGAAGTGTCTGCGGTGAGGAAAGAAGGCATTGTTATCTTTCCCGGGGGATAACGCGTTCACCACCACACCATGCTCGTTCTTCGTTTCGCCTTTCTCTCAGCTAGTTTTCTGTCTGCGAGTGTGGTTCATTTCGCATAGTACCCTGCTGTGAAAAATTCTAATAGGCAGTAAATAAAAAGTTCATTTTCCGGTTAGGTTTTATCAAGGACACAGTGGACATTGTAGACAGGTCTTTATTGAGTTTCAGGTGCTAGATAACGTCTATCAAGAATGGAAACGTACTCTTCGGAATGTAAAGGAGGGAGACGTAGAGGTTTGTAAGTATTCGCCCACTAGTCTGGTATTGACTGCAGCAAGAAATTTCACACTTTTCGTCATAAATGGCTTTATTTACCTTTACTCACTCTATTGTGGGATTGGGCTATTGCTGAAGCTTATCCTATTCTTACTCCATGCTCATAGTTTCAGGTACTTCGCGTAAATCTGTTCTGCTTTGCTAAATATGAGTGATAAAGGGACGAGATGAAGAGAGTAGTAAAAGGTCTGAGGTCCAAATACGTGGTTGATCTAGATGTTGAGACTGGGCGCAAATGGTTTGCCTGTCTTTCTTGTATCGAACGCCTAAATGAAATATTCTTCTTCGATAACCCACTAGCGTAATATGTGCTTTGATAGAAGGTTGTTCATTGCAGTATTGCATCGTGGGACAGCTTTTTTTTTATCTTGGCGTTCAGATCGCTTTAGAAACATCAGGTTTACACGCTTTTGGCCAATCATGATCATGAAGTTTTCAATCTGATCGTCCCTCTTGGTACTTCTATGTAGTTTAATTGATCACTGAATATAACAATGTGAAATTGACATATAACTTCTTACCAGGAAGTTGTTCCGCCGGACTGTGCTTTCATCACATCAAGTTTATCACAAAGCAGTACCACTGGAATTTCGGATGGCCATTAAGTCAGCAACAGTTATTTAGTGGAGACGAAAGCGATTGTCTTTTGTCTTTAACCTAACAACGATGACTTATCTGCTGCTGCTTCGAAGGTTTCTTATGTTAAGGTATTTTAGAAGTCTGATAAGGACGGAGATAAGATGAGTCTTCTTGGTGATAAGAGTATGCAGTTAGACGGAAATCTCGAAATTGTGAATGATTTGGGCAACTATTTCGAAACGTCGTCAAGAAAACAGTCTTCTTACCGTACCCTATCAGAATTACCACTTGAAGAATGGAATATACTTGATTCCTACCTACAGAAAACCGCGGAAGTGAGCTGTTCGATCTTTCTTTCTGCTTCTACCAACTTAGGTACTCATGTAATAAGATTTTTAAGGTAGTAGGAATCCTAGAACGGAAGCACTCTCGACTGACAATGGGCCGTCTAGAGCTATCCTCTGCTTCACAACGATATTGGATCAAGTTTTCGCCAACCGATTCGCGTATACCACGTCTTATGATTGCCGCTTCAAAACTTCCTAGAGAATTCTTGAACAGACCTCAGGTTGTGTTATTTAAAGTGCTTGGGTAATATCTATGTACTTATTTTTGCTGCTATGGAAATTCTTAGACATTTAGGACTTTTCTCAAATTTTATTTATTGCGAAGATACTGGAATGGACTGATGATTCCGTCATGGCAGTCGGTGAAATTCAGAAACAACTAGGACCAGCTGGTGACATTAGTGTGCGCTTAAAGTATCAAACCGTGAACTATGAGTAAAAGCATGCCTTAAGTTCTATTGTAGAAGATCAGTAAGGAATAGATTTTGTTATTTGCGCACACTGTAGGTGGAAACCGAGGGTTTGTTGGCAACGAGTGATGTTGATGTACGAGAGTTTCCTGAAGAGGTCATTTCTTGCCTACCTTCAGTTTCTTCGGAGACTGGTTGGAAGATGGATGGGGTTTGTTCCTTTTATAGTTTTGTCTTGTGCAAACGTTTATAACGCAAACGTTTCTTACCAGGATGAGATCACAAGACGTCGTGATTTACGTGACCAAATAATCTTCACAATTGATCCCAAAACAGCAAGGGATCTTGATGATGCTCTTTCTATAAGACCGTGTAGAAATATTGACGGGAGTGGTACTCATGGTTGGGAGGTTCGCCGTATTTGATTGTTATTTGATTGGTTTTATTGAGATGGAGTGAGTAATGAAGTTGAACTAATGTCTTTTGTTACTGTTTAGGTTGGAGTGCATATAGCTGACGTTTCTTATTTTGTGTTGGAGAACACACCACTGGATGAGTGGGCATTAAATAGAGCTACGAGTGTCTATCTCGTCGATAAGGTTTACAATTTTTGGGTTTCATACTAATTTATGGCGTCCATTCCAATCGCTTCTATCTAAAATTTGTCTTCAGGTTATTCCAATGTTACCCCGTCTGCTTTGTGAAGATTTGTGCAGTCTTAATTCTGGAGTTGATAGGTTAACGTTTTCCGTAATGTGGAAAATGGATGATAAGGGAAATGTACTGGATGAGTGGTTCGGAAGAACAGTTATACGATCACGAGTCAAGCTCGCGTACGAACATGCACAGGTTTTTAATTGCGAGTTAGTAATTGGTGCTTTCAAATTATTTCGAACTTTTACAGGATTTCATCGAAAATCCAGAAACTGACTTTCTTGATGCCGAGTTTCCCGAGATATCTGATGGAGTCACTGTAGCCCAAATCAAAGAAAAGGTGGGGACTGATGCTCTTAGCGATTGGAGGTTGGCCAGCATATTCATTTTAAAGGTGCTGCAACTTCACGACATCGCCAGGGTACTCCGACGGAATCGAAGACAAAATGGGTCGCTGCGGCTCGACCAACCAAAATTAAATTTTGTGCTCGATGACGAAACAAAGTTACCCATTGGGGTGTCAGTCTATGAGGTCATTTCATACATTCTTAGTTTAGTCTCGTTTTTGCTGAACGTTGTAAGTCTGGTGTTCTAGTGCAACCTAATTGCTAACTGCGTTTGTAGTACTACCTGACATTAACTCTTTTTATTACATGATCAATAAATTCCAAATCAATTCTTTTCAGTCAAAGGAATCCAATCATTTAGTAGAGGAGTTCATGCTGCTAGCTAACTTGGCAGTCGCGAGAAAAATTGAAAGGCATTACCCAGAGACAGCGCTACTTCGTTCACATCCCCCGCCGAAGGAAAAAGTACTTCGAGATGCGGTAATTTTAAAATCACATCTTTCATTGTTTTTTTTTTTCGAAATTTCGACATCATTTAATGTAGGACACGCAAGCGGTTCTTTGTAAAATCTGGGAACGTTATCAATTAGCAGAGGTATAACAAACGAGCAAGTTAGAGCTCATAGGAACGGTTTTATGTGAGGTTTTTGTTTCGACAAAGTACAACTTTGTTTTTGAGGTTATCGTCGTAGCAAAAGATCTGAACATTGGTTGATAGACCATCATTTATTACATTATCATTCAACTTCTACTAATGATCACGTTCATGTTGTCTCGATTGTTGGACGAACTGTAAATGTGTCATGTCATTAGGGTCATTGTATTTAAGATCAGGTGGTGCAACTTGATTGGTTTCCCCATAAGTGGGACATCATCACTAGAATTATGCAACGCTTTGGCGCCATTTCATCAGAAAACGCAGTTATGCCGATCAATTAACCAGGTACTTTTCATTCATTTCTGTCGACTTATTGGCCAATCTTGGCTTTCTACCATCCTTCATCATTTTTTTAGGTACTGTCTCTGATTCTAATGAAAGCAATGGAAGTTGCTCTTTATTTCTGTGCAGGTACCGTCCAGAGCCAAGCCTCTTACCACCATTATGCGCTGAATGTGCCACTGTATGTATTTTAACTTTGGTTTGATAATATAGTTCTGTTTCTGTCTCGCTACTCCGTAGTTCAAAATTACAAAAAGAGAAAAACGCGAGTAATAAATAACTTCAGGTACAGTATAAAAGGTGACCGATCATTTCAGCTATACACACTTCACATCACCGATCCGCCGTTATCCAGACATTGTTGTCCATCGCTTGCTAGCGGCAGCATTGAATTATTGTGAACCATCAGAAATAAGTACAACAGAGCTCGAAATCATTGTAAGCAAAGTTTAGTCATTCGACTGTGCTTACTGTAGGCCTGTACCAATGATGTCTTTCTTTTCGGAGTGGTCTCGAGTTTTCTTACAATGTAACGATTCATATGTGACTCATACGTCAAAAGAAATACAGTTCGTGCAAATATATGAGGCGTATTTCAGCTCTTATTAGGCTTTGTGCTTTTCTGTGGGCAACAAAAGACTTGTTTTTGCTTTCATGTCGAGCCTCGGCTTTTTTTATATCGCACAAGAAAGCGATTAAATAAGCATCTCCACTCAAATCCTGAGTGTATCGTTGATTCTTGTAGCTGCAACACTTAAGTTAAACATTTTGAAGTTTTAAATTGAAACAGTTTTTGAGTAGTTTTGCACACTCTTAGATAGATAACCTAGGTATCGAGAACTTACCACTATTCTTTGTAGAGCAGCATCAAGGCAGACTTGTTAATGAGAGAAGAACTACAAAGTGAAAACAAAAAATATAGGCATAAATAACTTGCTGAGGGCTATGTTTTCACTACAATGATTACTTACTTGGCTGCTTGAATGGCCCGTTCTCACTAATGTGCGAACCCCAGTATAATGTTCATTTTTTCAGAGTTTTGCTGGTTTAGCTATTGTAGTCCCTGGGGTCCCAAGGTTAGCCTGGGCAGACTGTGTCCCATGTCGTTACCACCACAGGTAGTAGCCGTCCTTATTGGATCAGAAAGAGATTTGTCACCATGCGGCTAGTTTGATACCAGGACAGTGGTGGATCCTGGCATTGGTTTACTCTTAGCTAGGCTTCCTGATGCAAACGCCGGACTCACCAGCTCGGGAGGCCTTGCTGTGAGAATGAATTACCCCGCTGTACATCACAGCGTGGCACAGAGGAACACCTCCCAGCCAGGATGAGGCGGTAATCCGTTGGGATGACTACAGTGATTGGTATGTGCCAAGTTCATTTAATGTTTACGACTCAAGAAGCTTTACATTAGCAACTGTGATAATTTACTCTTGTTTTTAGGCTAAACATTGCAATGATAAAAGGCTTATTGCGAAGAGAGTTTGGGAAAGCAGCGGAGAAATCTACTTTTGTGTGATGGTGCAGGTGTGCTCAGCACCTTAATCGGAGTCTGTTTTATATGAGTTAGTGGAAGATATTTTAGAGAGTTGGACCGATTGAAGCACGTGGCGTAGTTGTGAATGTTCTTGATGCCGCATTCGACGTTCTGATTCTCAAATATGGTGTGATAAAACGTGTGTACGTTAAGGTACAGTTTTATCTGTTATTTTATACTTAAACTTTATACTGAGTGAGCTTGTATGTTGATCTCCACGTTTCATAGGCTCTACAAATGTCTCGAGACCCGATTTTTGAAGAGGCTTCGTTGAAACTTACACTTTTTTGGCAAACTGATAAAGGTTTGTCCGTGCATATTTCTGCTGCATCATAGCGTCTTTTTACATCAGAGTGTTTTAGGGGTGATGGAACAGCTTATACAACTGTCTACTCTCGTTGATGTCGTGCTGACAGGTCTACGAGAACCGATGAAATACGAAGCGATAATTAGACCGAAATCTAGTCAAGAATCGCCAACTCTGTTCCAACTATGGTGTGAGGAACAAAAGTCCTCTAATAGTGAATGTGATAATAACGTTGACTTGATCTGAGTGGAATAGAGCTTTTTATCCTAGTCATTTTCATTGCCTATAATCAATAATCTTCTGATTTTTGAGGATCTCAAAATAGGGTACCTTTCTTATTACCATAGCTGGAATTTCCCTTCCGTAAATTCACATTTGTTAAATTAAGTTAATGCACACGCATGCTCTGTTTATACTTCAGCTTTTTTGTTTATGATTTACGCGTAGTGTTTTTAGTGAATTAGTTATCTGAGGGAGCAAAGATGCCTAGTTACAAAACATAAAGTGGCTCAAGTTGCTTTGAACTCCATTAGGTTGGCCTGGCGGTATTCCCTTCCCATTGTTTTGCAAAATAAATATAGTGATTTTATCGATGCTTTTTATCCTCTTAAACCAGTAGGTTACTAATTTCCTGCCTAAAAAAGCTGAGAGCGTTAGGTTTGTCATGGGAGCCGACCGAATCAATGACCGTGCACATCGCAAACGCAGCTGCAACCATTCCGCTGCATTCACCTGGGAGCATAGCTGGATCGTAGTCATTGGTATCAATTGACTCTAGTCCGTTGAGATTTTTAGTGAAGCTTTTAGATATTACATGTTGTCAGGAAGGTCATCCATTTCTTTATGAGATCATGTTTCATATCTTTCATAAGTTTTAGACTGTTCTGCTCTCTTTCAAGCTTTGGCAATCACTTCCTTCTTATAACAGTGACAACAATGCTTTGCTATCTCACGAAAAACAGCCACCTATTCGCTTTTGTTAGCCAGGTTTCGGGGACAAAACGACGAAACCGCAATAGAGAAGTCAATTTCCAGAGCGCTTGTGCTACCTGTCAATACAAAGTGGGAGACGAAAAATCCGGCAGAAACATTTTTAATGACGAGTCCTTCGTGCCGTTTAGAGGGGCCAGTGGCACACCACGAATACATTCCACGTAGAAGTCCAAATTGAAAACCACTGTACTTAAGCTGTGCATAAGATCGGGTAGATCATCGTGAGCATTGGTAGGGAGTACATCAGAATTGGAGCTGTGGCTGAATCGATGGTGATGAGACCTATGTAGGACTTGATAGGTGAAAGGAACTTATACTCTGATAATGGCTATACAAGGATTTCGTTGGCTGAGAGTCTGCTCCGGAAGAATACTCACTTGGTTGTCACGTGCAAAAGGAACAGAGAAGGATCCCTGGGGAACTTTGTCTAGTGGAAACTCCAGAGATGACAATCAAAGGCCTAACAGGTGGCAGCGGCATAATGGTGCTCAGGTGGAGAGATAAGAGTGACTATTACGATATCCGAAGTGGTAGTGATATCACGCTTACCAATTTTTCGAAATTGCAGGTGATTGAAAGCCACAAGTAAAGCCTGTTATGGACATAAACGATCAGTTGTATTATAGCCGAGAGGCAGGCCAACCAAAGGACCCGCATGGTGTGGTGGTGAACGCGTTACTCCCCAGAAAGGACAATAGCGCGTTCGTTCCCCACCATAGACACCTGCGGTCCAGAGTTTTGCAAATATCTCAGCAACGTTGTGGTTGCATTTCGCTTAGTACCCTGCCGCGAAATTATAGTAGGCACAAAATAAAAAGGTATAACATTGTGATCAGCTGTATTCATTCTCTATTCCTAATTCTATTCCCAGTATTTTACGTTTTTTTTCTGCCTTCTATAATTTTCAGGGCAGGTTACTAAACGAAATACAACCACAACGTTGCTGAGATATTTGCAAAACTCTGGACCGCAGGTGTCTATGGTGGGGAACGAATGCGCTATTGTCCTTTCCGGGGAGTAACGCGTTCACCACCACACCATGCGGGACCTTCGTTTCGGACCCCGCTGACGGGTGATCGCTGTGGCAAAAGATCGATAGAAATAGTTGAGAGACAGGCAAAACGAAGGACCCGCATGGTGTGGTGGTGACCGCGTTACTCCCCGGAAAGGACAATAGCGCGTTCGTTCCCCACAATAGACACCTGCGGTCCAGAGTTTTGCAAATATCTCAGCAACGTTGTGGTTGTACTTCGCTTAGTAACCTGCCATGAAAATTACAGAAGACAGAAAACAAAACGTAAAACGTGATTTCAACTACAGCCGCCTCAGCTTAACTGGGTTCTATGCCGGTTTGGGCTCCCCAGATCAACCCCGCTGACGGGTGATTGCTGTGGCGAAAAGACCGATAGAAGTAGCTGAGAGACAGGCGAAGCGAAGGACCCGCATAGTGTGGTGGTGAAGTGCGCTGCTCCCCGGTAAGGACAACAGCGCGTGTTCGTTCCCTACCGCACACACCTGCGGTGCGGAGTTTTGCAAATATCTCAGCATTATATACGAGCTAATACAGCCTACTACTGGCAGCGTATGATATGACATACAACCACTATAATACTGATATATGTGCAAAACTTGAACCCCAGTTCAGATTTGAACCCGCGATTACTCTTTCCGGGAGCTCACTTGTTGCACAGTACACTACCTAAGGCTCTTACTTTGCCTTTCCCTTGGTCAGTATTTTCGACTACAACTTCAGCTTAACTAGGTTCAATGCTCTCTTGTGCACCTCCGATCGTGTTCTCGTTGACGGATGATTGCTGATGGCAGCGTTAGACTCTCTGGGCCAAAATTAACAGTTATTATGGACCACGACGGACCATAATAACTGTTAATTTCGGTCATACATGCACCAATTGGTATCGATGCATTCAGTCGCGAATTTTTCAACGACGGTACCCGTATCACTTTCCACCTCCAGCATTTCACCTCAGACGCCGGTGTAGTGTAGGGGTAAAAGCGACCTGCAATAGACATAGGATCGATCTCTGCGCCCAACGCTCACCAAGCCTGCCAACACTCCATAGTCGACAATCTGCTACCAGACTTGTCTTGGAGAATAGCAGTATTGGTTCGATACATCGGTAGGCCACCGCGAATCATTCTAAACGCCAGATAGGCATTCATTCACCTCCACTGATGTAGTGAAGTCGAATGCAAGGCGCACTGCTTAGGGCTTAATCAACGCCGACAGCCTTATTCTCTCTTTTATCATGTGACCTTGATCCGCTTCTTAACATCTTATTCCTATTGTCTACTGGCAGTGATCGTGTACCTTCACTGCCGTGCTCTGTTTTGTCAGAGGTTTCTGATGGAGAGGTCCTACGCGTAGTTCATTGCTATTGCTTGAATGCGATGTCAATTCTGAGCCAATTTTTATTGAAAAATCAGATTTGCTCTTCCAAAAGCACTGTACAGTACCTAAACCACTTACCACTGTCATGTTGTTCACCAACACTTCGTTGCACCCCCCACCCAACGTCCTCCTCAGCCTCCTCCACTACGTCCGCTGCGTTGCGTATGCGTCGCGGTCTCACAATACGTGGCGAAATTCGCCGTTCGCGGCGCGTTCGCGTCGCGGTCAGGAATTGATCCGCTCCTCGCTGCCGGGCGTCCACTCATTCATTGTCCGAGTCTTTTGTGGTGTGGTTGGTCGTTGTATGTTGCTTGAAGTTCTGGTTTCGTACAATTGCAAGTATTCAATTTGTTGTAGGTGAATCAAGGTCCTGAAGATGTCTCGACGTGGTGATGTTGATGCGAAGGTGTACATTGGTGGTCTTCCACACGATGCAACGTCACAAGAGGTAAGCGTCCAGTCGAGTTGAGATTGGTCCGTGTTATGTACTGCGGACATGAACTGTTATGATCTGGTAGCTCAGTGACTATCAGTAGTATTTCTGATCTTCTTTTGTATATAAGGTTTTTGACCGTTTTTTGAGGCAAGTGAATCGTTAACGGTAAAGGACGGATTTGGTGAACTACCTTTACGTAACCTTTACGTTGTTCCCCGATGTGAATTGATTTGAATTCACAGCGTTTGCCCCAGGAAATTGGATATCGTACTAAGTATTAGCGATATGGAACTTAGGGTAGCAGGTCTACAGGTTGCAAGTTTCCACGGATTCTTTTTGCAGATCTTCCTTAGAGGTCTTGAGCAGGTTTATTTAACGGAGGCCATCGGAGCAAACGTAGAATGACTGTTATCTAGTGTATAGTTGTTGATAGGAAAATATCTGTTAGCATGAATGAATTTACATCATCGAAGCCTAGTAAATATTCCAAAACTTGTGAATAGACAGATCCTGGTTACTCTGCCTATTCAGTTTCCCAAATAGGAAATCCAGGATGTTGAACTGCAATGCGTGTAGACTTCGTTGGGTAGATGACGGCTGGTGGTTCAAAGTTCCCGTTCCTAATAGATATACCACTTCATGCCCATCCGAAAGAAGTGTAAATGGTAATTTCTGTTGATAAGACACGAGATCAATGTTCAGCAGCCGTTTTGTTAAGATCTTTATTTAATATTTGGTAATGATCGAAGTGCAATTTATTATATTTCAGATCGAAGACACGTTTCATCGATTTGGTCGTATTCGCAAAGTATGGGTGGCTCGTCGTCCACCTGGTTTTGCATTTGTGGAGTTTGAGGACACAAGAGACGCTGAGGACGCTGTGAAATCTCTCGATGGATCGTAAGTTGTCGTCATTGTTTCTCGTGTTGACCTGATTTTTGAATTATTGCGTTTTCCAGTCGCATCTGCGGAGTACGTGCTCGCGTTGAATTATCTCATGGCAAGCGTCGTAATGGTGCAAGTGGAGGAGGTCGTGGTTATGGAGGTGGACACGGAGGTGGTGGTTATGGTGGTCGCAGGATATCGAGGTAAAAACGAGGTTTTTAGTTTAAGTATGTGCTAGTCCTATGTGTTATGGAATTTGAAACAAGAGGTGTGCGGCTATTTGGTGTGACTGTGATAGAACAAGTCACAAGAATGATTCTAAAGTGGTGGGAAGCTTGCTGTATTCGTGTCCTTGGGTTGCCATGGGAATCGTGGTTCAAATATTCAAGAAATACAACCAAAGTGATGCTGAGATATTGTAAAAACTGCCTGAGAGACAAGCGAAATGGAGGAAGTGCATGGTGTGGTGGTGAACGCGTTAACCCTCGCAAAGAGTAGTAGCGTGTTCGTTCTCCACCACAGATACCTTCGATCCGGAGTTTTACAAATATCCAGCATTATCGTGATTGTATTTCACATGGTAACCTGCTGTGAAAAATTGTAATAGGCAGCAAATCAAAATTTAAATCATTAAGTAGTTTATAGTTGCCACTAAAATACGAATTATAGGTTCATATTTATCTATTCACATAAGTTGAAGTACCAGTTGAAGTGAAAGTAAAGTGTAAAGCAGAAAGGTTTCTTCCCAAGTCGGTGATGTTTACAATTCTTGACAAAATTTAGCTCGGGGATGCTAGCATTAGGTACTCGCTTCTCATTGTATAAGTAATAAGATATCCACTATAGAATCATTCTTAAGAACTCCATAGTTATCGCTAAGACCGAGGTAGATGGGTCATTTTCCTGCGAACGGACTAGAAGTAAATATGAATGTTTTAGCATTTCTGACCTACCGGTCTACCGTCATCCACCATCTTCCCTTCTCTCTCCTCTTTCATCGTAACATAGTGTCTGCATCATCATCACATCACACCCGCACACGCGTACTTTGTCGTAACGTCGCTTTCTACTCTAACTGCTTCGCAACAGCTGCTTCCGAATACGAATACGGCTGTCTCATAGTGAAGAGTACAGTATCATCATCTTTGCATCAAACATCACCGAACTCCTATCACACCAAAAATAGCTTCGATACCGGTTTGTTTGGGTGCAGAATGCCACCCGAATACACTCGGATTCTCTTTGCGTAGGTTGCTTGATTGACATTAGTTCATTATCTTTTGGTAGCCTAATCGAGTAGAGTTGTTCCCATCCTTTCGTATAGCTTGTGGTAATGATAGTATGTGTTTTAGGTCACGCTCTCGCAGTCGTTCTCCTCCTCCTCGTCGTTGTTCGAGGTCGCGTTCTCCATGTGATAGAAGGAGCAACAGCAGGTTAGTCTTGAAGCTTCGATTTGTTTATGTGCGTACTGTATGATTTGTTGCAGAAGTCGCAGTCGCTCGCCGTAAAATGGACGAGTAAGTGCAAACGAAGAACTGGAGTGATCTCCTTTAATTGTTTTTCATTTCGCTTCATGTTTATTTAGTGAACTATATCGCTGTCGATTTATTCCGTACTTAATTGTTTACAAGTTTATAAACCTTATGTTAGCTATATCTTAGTCCTGTGTTGGTTGTACTCTTCACACTTTTTTGTGCATATAAAGTTGGTCACCGGCTTTTCATGTTAATGCGATTCTAAGTTGCATATTGTGTTCCCATTTTAACTTCCACACCAACGTGTGAGAAAGATAGAGTTAAAGATGTTAAAGTCGCTGATTTGATGGTTCTTATCTTTTCAGTTGGTGGCAACTCGGAAGATTGAGCTTTCTCTCTCTTTCTTTTTTGACACTTAGGAATCATCGCTAGTTCGGTAGTGCTACTTATAAATTCCATCCAATTTGCTGGCCTCTGTTGCCCATTGGAGGTCTACGGAGAACTTTCTTGTTAAGCATTTCCATTGAGTACAATTCGTTGATCTGTTAATGGGACGGTATATTTATATCTCATGTAAAATGTGGTATGGTGTTGTCATAGAAAAACTGGATAGCACAAAAAATCCGCGATTGCAGTGGTCTTTACTAGGTGGTTACGCTTGGTGTTCTTCCCTTCTAAGTCTCGAAGGTAGTTGACTTAGCTTGGGGATTGTTAGTGTGGTTCATGGGCTTATATTGGCAGCCTCACCTAGAAACGTGAAGACCACTAGTTAACGCGAAGATGTATTTATTATTGTACCATGGGATTCGACATGGCAATGACTTGGTTTGTCTCGGCCTGGATGAACTTGCATGGAATGGTTGCAATGGTATGCGGGCCAATTTTATGCTGGGAAGTAAAAGAATAAGGAAAAAAAGGTAAGGAAATCCATTGCCACGATAAGGATCTGGACAACTACACAGAGGATAAGGATTCTGGATAGATGTTCGCGAGCTAGGACGTAGGCATTGGAGATCGAGGTAGTGGAATGAGGTGGCACGAGTGCTAGGAAAGCTTTAATGATTGACTATATTTCATAGTGTAGGCTGCTGGGAATCCTCATCAAGTAAAGCCACTTGTAAGTTTGTGTTCCTGGGATGAGGGTAATAGTAACATTCGAGTTAGTTTTCTCCAGCTCTATTTCGGTAACATTTTTCTGTATATCTTTGGATCCTCTTCCCTGACTAGAGCGGTTACACCAGCGATGTCGGGATATGATTTCATTCTACTGCCCGTTGTACATGATTGGCACTTAATGTGGTCTTTCCATGGAGATAATCATGACCACTACAGTCGTGGTAATGCTGAAGTGTCAGGTAAATGTTGTGTTTACATTGAAGCTATGGATCTTCGTCGCATGGATGAGAGATTGAGATTTTGAGCATTCTTCATACGGAGTAAACCTTTTCGTGATCTACAGTGCGCACCACTGATTTGAACTTGGGTAATTGAACCGTACATATACCTACCTCGGGAACAGTGGGAGTCTTGGATGTAGCCGGTTTGTATAAAGTGTAAACGAAAGCTGTAATTTCTATAATGCTGAGATATTTGATTATCGTATTTGAGATATTTGATATCGATTGCTGATGGCAAAAAGATCGATTGAACTAGCTGAGAGACAGGCGAAACGAAGGACCCGCATGGTGTGGTGGTGAACGCGTTACTCCCCTGAAAGGACAATAACGCCTTCGTTCCCCACCGCAAACACCTGCGGTCCGGAGTTTTGCAAATGTCTCAGCATTATAGTAGTTATATTTCGCAACATACCTTGCCGTTAAAAAGAATAGATAGTAAATAAAAAGGTTAAGAAAACTGTAATGTTCAGATAGCGGGGAACAACGATATTTGAGGCGAAGAAGCAATGATGAAAGATATGGGTTTTGATATTACTACGCAAGGCTTTTGTGAACGTGCAATGGCAGTGATTTATTAACTTCACACAAAATAGTGGAGGATAACCGTCATCATACGTAGCGGAAACACTTCACGATAACACATAACTCTCAAAAGACTGAGCCTCAGCAGCTGGGTTTATCTATAAAGTGGTAGAGAACTGTCTGTGTAGCTAAATGATGCTTCAATCCATATCGACACGTCACGAATTTGAGTACTTTTGCTACTTATTTTTTGTCGGATTTGATCCGCTACATATCCTCGATCGATCACTTGGTGAACCACTGGAATCACTGCCATAATTGAAGAACTCTAGTTGTAGGGCAGCAAATCTCCTTTGACACGGGAAGAACGATGACTACTGTCATGAAGACCTACCCAATGAACGGCTACCTAGGAGCGTCCTGACACGCCTTTTCCAGGATGTTAAGGAGAATCACGCCCACGCTCATTCAGTGTATCAATTAGAAAGGGGCACCGTAGACGCTCGAGATGCATTCGATCTCACATGTAAAACGAGCCGTGCCGATCGTTCGCGGGTTCTGCGTTAAATATTTTTGGCGTTATGTGTGATGAACATGTTTTGATTATGAGATGAACTGTTAACCTTAGTTCTCCACATTGTACTCGTGCATGGTTTTGGTTATGATATACTAGTTTTGTCATGTGGTAAAAGATCCGTCCATTAAAAGCGTCACATACCTATCACTACCCATTACATTTATGCATCTTTTCAGTGAGGGATAAATGCCAATCTATGTAACAAGTAGCAAGTAGTATAGCCGGTGAAATGTAGCCCGTGACCGAACGCGGCCTTGATTCAAATGTCAAACCCAATCATTGCTCCCACAAGCGACTTTCTATGAACCTCAGCATTGATCGTATAATTCTCATATTTTTGTTAAGCAGACACAAGGTGTTATTTTATTCTTTATTCACTAAGAAGCTGACGTTCCGGTGGATTTCTTCTTCCTCAGTCGTGAAAGTTCAAGTTGACTGCAATCTACGCAGCGAAACACCTCCATAACCAAACTTTTTTTGTTGTGGACATGTTTGGCTGGGTAGATTGCTGTCAACTTGACCTTTCCAGGCTTTGAGAGAGCCCAGTCCTTGTTATTTGGAATTGTCACATACCTTTTTTTTACGGTGGAGACATATTCATGTCTGCATCTGTATGCTTGTATGGATTTTATTGTGCTCTTCAACCTTGCAATCAAGTGACTGTAGGAGAACATGGGAGGTCGTTTGGTGCTGCCACCAGCAAACACGTTTTACATGAAATAACCAGCGGAAACTCTCACGAGGCATTTAAGACGTATCTCGAAAAATAACGAAAGCATTCAGCCATCATCTTAACTCTAAAGCAAGATCCATTCTAGGCTGCATAGACCTGGAGGGACTACGATGACGACTGGTTTTTGCAGTGCATACAGTGGTCTTTACGTGGAACATAGGAACCTTGAACTGAGTATCCGACGATGTAGGTTAAGAAGAATTAGTACCAAATCATCGCCTGCTTTTGTTCCTAATCAACGTAAGTTTGATTTCCTTGAGGACTACCCGAATCAGTTCTTAATGCTTGCAATATGTGGACAAATGCCGCCTTTTTGAGCGTTCATCGATTAAGCCTTAACATCAATCTGTGCCGAATACGAGGTTTAAACGTTTTAGGTGCACTTGAAGAATTTCCGCAGATAGAACAAGGCTCTGTAGGGTCATCTTCTACTTGGCGACTTCAACGGTTCCTTCAAAGAGAACGTTTGATAAACTTCACATCAAAACCCAAGGAATGGCATCGAACTAACAGGGAGACAGGCTGAGTTTATCACGATGATTAGGACCATTGACGGTGCCATAAAATTCCACAAATTGCTTTCTCAACGATTAGTAATGGGGCAAATAACTCCAGAGAGTTCCCTAACGTTTACTCGGCGACCTCTACGGGAGTTATGTGATGCAGAAATTAGGACAGCTTAAATGAGATATCTCAGCCCGTATGGAGTATAATTGAAAGAAAAGTTTTTAAGATCTATAAATTGTTGCCTGCAGTATAAAAGTTCCTTGGCTTAAGAAAAAAGGGCAAAGCTTTCGGTGTTAATTGATTGCATATTTGGCGTCTACATTTACTTACACTGGCATGGCAATGTATCAAGTCGGTGCTGCTATCATCTCAGAGAAGTCTGTTGCAATTTGTGAATTGCGGAGACATGGAAGGTTTGCTGAGCCTAGGATGCAGTATCGAAGTAATCTACAGGGCATCCCTAGTGACTAGCTAGTGTAACTTCATCTAGCATGACCTGAAGTTGGTCCCCATTGTTTCACCTATATTTGCATATGGTGCGTTTTCCTTGAAACCTTAGAACCTTAAATTTCTTCATCAACTTTTTAGAGTTTTATTTCTCTACGTATTTAGATTTGAATGGACTTTGTATAAACATCATATATACGGTTTATGCAATAGAGCAGTCTATCTTCTAGTCTTTTCTATAAAGTTCTAATGGGTGCTTGTGGTGCAGTGGTCGGAGGCGCCCTACAACACATACGTGGAATCGATCCCGTACCCATGGCCAACAAAGCCTTCCATCCCTCCGGGGTCGCAAATTGTTACCAGACTTGTCTGGGAGGATATCGGGACTGGTTCGATAGATCGCTAGGCCACCGCGAGTCATTGTAAAGGCCAGATATGCATTCAATCACCTCCAAACGATGTTTAATGAGGTCGAGTGCATCGCGCATCCCTCAGGGATTGATCAATACCAAGCGCTTTATCCATTTTTTCTATAGAGTTCTAAACTCCTAAAATCCTACAATGATCAATAATTCACCACCAATTATCAAAAAACCAATATCAGCGTAAAAGGGTAACGAAGTTGAAGGCATAATTATTTTTAAGTTGGAGCTTTTCTTAGTCGATGTTGTTGTTATCCCAAATTTCTATGAGAAATAGAACCACTTGCAGTAAGGCAAAAAGCCTTACAACTCAAGGAAAAAATCTGAAAACGTCGTATGTTGGGATTATTTAGACTTTTAGCGTACTTTTAAGATTATTCTTGTCAGTAACATCAATGAAGAACGCGATCGTTTTACAAGGTGACGATGCTGCTAAAAGAA